AGATGCTTAATGCCCTGTGAGTATACTATATTCCACCGTCCTGTCTCACTATGACCTGCATCCAAACTTGCCTGAAAGAGCCGTTTGATTTCGTCAATATTTTCGCGTGCGCACCATAGGTTGTAGTGACGATAGAATGTCGTATCTGAAACGGCGTATCCAAAAACGTCCTTAACGACAGCTAGGCGCGACTTGATAGCAAGCTTCTGAGTGTATTGTGTAAATTTTGTGTGAACGTCGAAGGTATATTTGCCCGGAAATCTACAATTATTTCAGGTCATATTGACGAACTAGCAAATACTTACTTCAAGTCAGTTTTTATCTTGGGAGCACTGAAGATATCTTCATCTTCGGAATCGGTAATAACAATTATATCCCTATATATTGAAAATTAACTGTTTTTTTCAAAAATAGTTTTGTTATTACGCACGAGTGTTCAGCCTTGATTTTTTTAGAAGGTGACTCCTCCAATACCATAGGAGGGGCAGAACGTTTGTTACGTGTGCTTGAGAAGTCTAGTCGCATTGCCACGCTGCCACACCGTTTACCCGAAAACTTGAATGGTCCAAGAATAACTTTCTGACCGGATGACAGCCCAGTAAGCGGCATATCACGACCCACCCAGATATTATTAGTCAGAACAGCGTACGCCACCAGCTCTTCAGCAGAGAGATCGGACATAAGACGAACAGATATAGACTCTGCTGGGTTGAAGCTGGGAAGGTTTGGTGCGGCAGCCGTACAGAATATAGGTGCATTTGCCTCGTCTAATTCCTAAGGATAATATTAGACAATGTATTCAAAAAAAGAAAGCGTAAATAAGCTACCTTGCACCATGCGACTTCAAGTTGTGGTGCCTTGGCTGTGGTAGGCTTCGCTATATCTTTCGTTCTTGAGACTGAATTCTCGACAAAGCCTGGGGGCAAGCTACGCCAGTATGGAGAAAGATTATGGCCATGGAGAGGAAGCGACCGTGGCTGTTCAATTTGTATTTCAGATGCTGAAAGAACATTCAGTATTGGAATATATTAAAAGGGAAAAGCTTGACCTGGAGCTTCCAGGATACGCGTTTGAGAGGATATAGAAGGTGCAGAAGGAGTCAATGTAAGTGTAGGTTCAGAGGAAGGAGTCCAGAAGGGCATGGTAGCAGTATGACTTGGTGTATTTCCTAGGGCTAGTTTTAGCACGTTGAAAAATATACAGAATAAATCATACCTAGTAGGCCCGAGTTTTTTTTCTTCTTAGGAGTGGTCACTGTTGCTGTAGTACGGTGTGTGGCAAGGTTACAGCAATGGTAGTCGACCCCATACAGTCCCATATAGCCTGTGCAGCATAACTTACATAGCCAATGAGTACAATTGGCATTGCGATCACCGTCGGCAGCGCAATAAGGTCCTTGACACTTGGTGGAACCATTGGGCTAGAGTTTACTTATAGTCAGCCAAAAATTTACTTCAGGAAGGTCGACGCACCTTGGCATGAACGCCATTTGCTACCCACCAGAAGCCACCACACTTGCCCTCTACTGCCGTTGTTGTGAGCCAAGATGGCAGGTGTCCTCCACCATAGTCATAATAGTTATTTGAGCACTAAGAAACTCAGTATTGCTCGTGCCAACAGAAACTACATTATACCTTGACGAACAGAAGGCCTTTGTGGTCTGGATGATGCCGTCCAGATGACCTCTTGCTAAATAGGATAGTTCCCCGTTGACAGCTTAGGCATGTAGAACCAAGAGGAGGTAGAGGAGTGGTAGTATCTGTGTCCATAGTCTTTCCTCGGAGGTTATGGTAGCAAAGGAAAAAAATGTGACACCATTTGGTTTGGTCGACGCGTGTCTCAGACGCGTCCTGTAGGACATCAATATAACCACGTGATGGTGCCATACCTACAGTATACATTGGCGGCTACCTATAGGATAGATATGATATCCTATAGGTTGCTTAGGAGAGAACAAACATCCTACAGGATATTCTCATATAAAAATATGTAAATCTATCCTATAGGTTGGGTTTATCTATCCTGCAGGACAGTCTACGCTACAGGATGGATTTTGCCCTATCTATCCTACAGGATAGTCTATCCTGCAGGGTAGGTCGATTCATCCTACAGGACAGGATAGGTCTGACCTATCCTGCAGGACAAGATAGGTCTATCTATCCTGCAGGATAGGCCCATCCTGCAGGATGGGTATATGGTCTATCCATCCTGCAGGATAGGTACATATCCTGCAGGATAGACCCATCCTGCAGGATAGATAGACCCATCCTGCAGGACATGCCCATGGGCATATGCCCACCCGCGATACCCATGGGAACCCGCACAGGATTGGGTCCGCTCTCGGCTTGAAGATATGATTGATGAGATATCATGATACTGATTGATGTCCGCGGGAAATCACACCGCATCCACGCAAACTCCGTGTGACTCACCCTCCGTTTCCCTCTCCTCAAACGAGCGCTGGCAACTGGCTGTCGGCACAACCAAGGAGAGTGGTGTATTCGTTACTCGGCACTGACGCAGGTGCGAAAAACACGCACGGGCCTCGCTTGCTCTGCATTTATTCTCATGTTAGCGTCGCTCATTGATCACACCCGATAGATATTAGGCAGGGGCGGTGTCGCGAGCGCATCTGGAATGCAGTGATTTGCTCACTGCTGGGGTCGATATAAAGCCATGGTCGGCTGCTTGTCGTGTCAACTTTCCTTCCCAAACCACCCCGGCCCTCTACCACATCATGTCTGTGTCAGAACGCGAGCCGCTGCTGGGCGATGGCCACAAGACATGCCCCGTGACCGGGAAGACGGGCGACGGCCACGAGTTTGTACCCCCTATGGAGGGCGACGTGCGCTCTGTGTGTCCTGCAATCAATGCAATGGCGAATCATGGCTACATGTGCGTCGCATCTTCTCTCCTTTTGTGCTCTACTGACCTGACCGCAGTCCGCACGACGGGAAAGGCGTAACGCCGTGGATGATCTTCCGGGGGCTTCGCGCCTGCTATGGGCTGTCTATCCCGCTTGCCCTCACGCTTACCGGCGGGGGGTGGTTCTTCAACAAGCGCTACTTTGGGCAGGCGATCACGCTTGTTGAGCTCGGGCTGCACAACGGTGTTGAGCATGATGCCAGTGTTGTCCATGGGGACACACCCGTCCCCCCGCCCGTCGTTGGCCATGACGGAAAAGTCACCGTCAACACTGCCCGCAAAGGGCTGCTTGCACCCGTCGCCATCATCCCCGCCCTAGTCGAGGAGTTCATCTCCTCTATCGTGAAGCGCGCCAGCCTCGAGGCCTCCACCACCGAATTCGTGACCCCTACTCTGCCAGCCACCCTCCCTGAATCCGCCGTATTGATTACGGGACACGATATCGTGCAGACGCGGCTCCGGCGCGAGGCCCAGTCTCCGCCGCTCGACCCATTTCACGCCGAGCTTGCACGAGGGGAGATGTCCATCATCCTTGGTGTATGGGAAACCCAAAAACCGCTATCCCCGTTGCCCAGCGGATCACCGATACCTGCGCCGGGTATCCCGCTGCCGTGGATGCGCCACTGGCTCGCGGAGGAAAGGCTGCCCGACGGGTGGAAGCCTACGCATGTCCAGGGTCTCCGAGATGTGATTAGGCGCTCGACAGCGATGCGGAAGGAGATGAAGGCCATCAGGGAGGGCAAGTAATTTGGTTCGACTCGGAGCCATATACGGTATATTTGTTGTCTAATGCGGAGTATTTTTGACTGTTTGTCTGCTGTTTATATTTATAAACCTCATAAATTTGCAACATGAAACACTGTGGAGTGCGCTTAGAAGACAAATGTTGTTTTTCTTGGACCTCCTTCCTACCGATTATACTATGGAGCTGTAGGACCAATCCTCCTGCACATCCCGCGAAACGCTGAGCCAGGGCCATGTGAGGGCACGAATCATGAATCCCTTTCAAGTCCGTCGTTGGGGGGTCTGGATAAGTACTACAGTACATTTTGTGAAGAATTAGAGCTAAACTAGAACGCAAGTTACTTTGGGTATTCACAGGATCATCAGTGAAAGGCGCTGTCAGCCAATTTCAGGATTTGCAGCGAATCCTCGGGGAAACAGGGGGAATCGAAGCTGCGATAAGCTTTTGAGATAAGATGTTATCACGTGCCTCGAACCACGTCATCCCGTCCACAACAACTCAGAAACACAGCGAGTCGAAAGCTGTGCTGAGACGGTCGTCGACGGCCTGCATACTAGGTATGGCTCACGAAATGCAAAGACTATACATGGCGTCGTCATCCTTGCTGAAAGGCCTTTGCTGCAGAGTTGCCAGTGCCAAGAATCGCATTCTTGGCTGCTGCGGAAAAACTGGCTCTAGACTGGACGTTTCGGTGCACATGACCGCGTTTTTAGCCTCGGCGGTCAAACTTCGGTCCCCGGCGACTTGGCACGACCGGACGAAGCCGGGACTCCCGGCGGGAGTTGGTTGGTTGCGTCCGCAGTCGATCATGTCCGCCTTGCACGCGCCGCAGCACAACCGCAGCATCAGCACTCTCATGTTACTTGCATGCTACTGCTTTTCCGGTCACATATCGCCTTGGTGGGCAACGCTCAAGACAGGCCATCTGCGGCACCGTATTTGGGTCGATACGATACGGATCTTCGTACCTGGTATTCAGTGCGGAAGTACTTCTAATCGAGCGCTAGGTTCTCAACTGGCCGCTTAACCCGACAATTCTTGGCAATGCATTTGTCGGCGTCCCGCCCCAAGCTGCTTCAAGCCTGACTGTGGCCTGACTTTGGCCCGACCTCAATGTTTCATCGTGGTTGCAGCGGCGTAAATCGGCGTTGCGATGAGATGAGGGTAATTGCAGATTACTTGCCGCTGACTTGTTGCTTTACTGCAGAGCCGGAACACCCTAGAGACGTGAAGATCTTCCATCATAACGAAACTCCGCTGATTTGCCTTTCGCTATGACCTTGCCCCAGGTGCCTCTTTTCTCTCATTTCTCCCGCTCCCTCCAGCCGCTATGCGTGCTTTCCTCCAACGCCTCAACCCGCGAGCATACTTCGCTGGGTCATCAGCCCCTGATACCACCCCCTACGAGCTAGTTCCCGAGTCTGAAGAAGAGCTCGGCGACAGCATCCCCTTACTCCCCTCTTCATCTACCCAATCGCTCGACAAACAACTGGAACAGATAGCACCACGGCGAAGACGAAGAAAAGATTACCAATGTGCCTCCCCTGCCCTGTTCGCGGGCATCGCGCTGGGCGGGCTCTTCGCAGCCGTGGTCGTCTTATGCGTCCTCCTTTTCCTCAGACAGCCGCCTGAGGAGCACATACCCCCGCCCCCTCCTCCGCCGCCGCCAGTGTCAAACACCGACATGTCCGACCCTATCCTCGCCGCCCGCGCCCACGTTGCTGCATTACGAGCCCGGCAACCGCAAACATTAGTCCACGCAGCCTCCCGATATTCCCTCAAGACTGGGCGGTCTCCCCCTAGAAATTACGATCTCTGGTTCCAATTCGCACGAGAGCATGGCTGTCTCGTCGACGAATACGACCAGATCTATCGCGACTTCAAGCCGTTCTACCAGCTGGCTGAGCGCGACCCAATTTTCTTCCAGCGCATGATAGACGCTGCTTCTAAAATGGTGAGTCGTTTCTTTTACAAGAGCAACGCGCTGAGGACACAGTAGATGGCCAACGATGCGAAGGAAATGGGGCGATATGAAATCAAGAATGGGAAGGTTATCAGGCCAGAAGGGAAGCCGACGTCCTATTGGGACACTGAGCCGCTAACTCTTGGCTGGGTGCGTGCTTTTCTTCCCCGTTTACTCACTCACTCAAAAAAACAGTTTTCGCATATTCTTCCGGACCTCACTGTCATTATTAACGGCAAGGACGAGCCCAGAGTGGTCTTTGACGTCCGCCAAACTGGGGATGCCATCCGCGATCGCGCCCTCAAGCTGACCGAGCAGAATCCCTTCGAAGTTTCGCCCCATCCGACCTACACATACTTCTACAACAAGCCCGGATGCACGATTATGCGGAGCAAGGACGGGTTTCCAGACGTTGCCAACGATGATAGTGCCTGTATGTCGCCGTTGTTCTCACTATCCTATGAATCTCATACTTTTAGTCTTCTTGTCTAGTGCGAAAACACAGTGGACCGAAGACCTTTACCCAATTCTCTCAATGACCAAAGTCAGCCCTTGTTTTGCGGACATTCTCTTCCCAATTGAGGTATGCTCGTTCTCGTAAACAGTCTATGACTGACTTTCTCCTAGTACTACTACACCCGCTCGTGGTGGTCACGTAAATTCGGGCACGAGAACAATATCGCGTGGAACGACAAGCAGGAGAAGATTTATTGGCGCGGTACTGCCAGCGGCGGGCAGATATTCGACGACAACTGGCGTAACTTTACGCGCTTCAAGCTTGTAGACAAGTCCCACGCGCACCCGGACCTGCTGGATGCCGAAATCACGACTTTTGCGGACGAACTGTGTATGGGCCGGCCAGAATGTCATCGTGATCAGATTATGGCCGAGTATAAGATAACTGGGGCACTGACGCCGAAGGAAAATGCGTACAAACACAAGTACCTTCTCGACGTCGACGGGATGACGTTTTCGGGGCGTTTCTTGGGGCTATTACGGTCAGGAAGTCTCGTATTCAAGGCGAGTTTAGCATTCTTCTCCAAAATAGAAAGCTAATAATAATTTCCCCAGATGACGGTGTTTGAAGAGTACTTCAACGAGTGGCTGCGGCCCTATGAGCACTATATCCCTGTGGCTCCCGATCTCTCCGACCTTTTCGAGAAGCTGGCTTGGGCGAAAGAACACGACGCGGAAGCGCGGATGATTCAGGAAAGGGGGAAGGCGGTGGCGGGGGGTATAGTTACCGACGGGCAGAACGACTGCTACTTTGCGTTGGTGCTCCTTGAGTGGGCAAGGCTGCAGGAGATCGCACGGAATGCGACGGCGGGACATCACTAAAATACCATAAATTTTGTACCATCGGATAAGATAATACCGAATCATCATCATGTGACCGACCCTTCGCTTGTTCCTCGCCTTAATGTCCGACGAGGAGGATGACGCGTATGGCTCTGGGAAGACGAGGCGCGCAGTGCACCGCAGAGAGCAACGGGCGTGCGATACCTGTCGAAAGCGGAGACGTATGTGCTAGCCTTCTCTGGAGCGATTCGCTGTAATGGTTCATGCAGGAGCTTGTAAGGCCTATTCATGGATTTCTCGGACGCCGGTTCACGAGAATGTTTGCTCAGGCAATGGTACCCGCTTTCCGGTGAAGATATGTGCGCTTTGCCATGAATTGGGAGTAGAGTGCAAGTTCACAGGCGTGGTAGCTAAACGGCGAACGTGAGTCCGTTGTTATCTCTCTTTCTTCCCTGACGGAGGCAGGTACGTGCAAGCACTGGAAGACCGTGTGAAGGATGCCGAGATGAAAGTTGAGCAGGTGTGTCTCTGTCTCTTAGCTGGCCTTATACTGACTAACTTGCTAGATTGCGCCACCGGCGGTGAAACCCAGCGAGCCGAACAAGAGTCCAAAATACGGTACTCTGTCACTACCCCCCGATTCTGACGTGTCATTCCGCAGACCTGGGCCTGGTGTCGAGTTGGCCGCGTTGTCAATTCGCGCGATGAATGTTGCTGCGCCAACGGCCCAAGACACGGAATATCTCGAGCTCATCCAGGGGCTAACGGTGCTGTCTTTGAGCAATCACCAGGACCACTTTCATGGCGAAGGAAGTAGTGCCATGGTAGTCAAATCCGCGGTCGACCTACGAGAACGATACGAAGAGAAAGACTTGGTCTGGGCGGCGAGGAGGGAGAAATACTGGGTTTTTACACCGGTGCGCCAACAATTGCTTGCTTACCTATTTGATATTGAGATAATCTCTAGACAACAGACAAAATCAAGCATATTGGCCCTTACGTCTTTCCTCCACCAGAACTTCTCGCCTCCCTCGTCGACCTCTACTTCCTACACAAGAACCACTTCCTTCCGCTGCTTCATCGGCCTACGTTTGAGACGGGGCTTGCTCAGGGTCTCCATTTACGAGATCGTGTATTCGGAGGCATAGTTTTGCTTGTTTGCGGGATCGGCTCGCGGTTCTCGGCTGACCCGCGTGTTACGCCGCTTGGAATGGACGAGCTCCTGTGTGGCTACCAGTTTTTCCACCAGATACAGCTGGGTATCGACCATATGTTTGGTGGCCCGACCATCCATCACGTCCAGCTCTACTGCGTCAGTCACGGTTATTCCTCTTCGATAAATAAATTTGGACTAACTCGCGTTTCCAAGTTGTTTGTTACTTTTTGCGAGTATGCAAATCCGTCGTCGTGCTGGACTATCGTAGGCACTGCAATTCGAATGCTTCAAGATGTCGGTGCACATCGCAGGCCGAGGATACCTACCTCGCCGACAGTCGAATCCGAACTTTGGAAACGAGCATTCTGGATCTGTCTCATCCTCGACAGACAGCTCAGCATTGGTGTCGGGCGACCTAGCATGATACCTTGGGAAGAGTGCGCGTTCTTTTCTAGGCACATTCGTTTGAACTGAATACCATTGTCAATCTAGTTTCGACGCCGAGCTGCCTTTAGAGGTAGACGACGAATTTTGGGAGGACCCCGTCGAGCCTTTTGTCCAGCCTCCCCATCAGGGCCCATCTACGATTGCCTTTTTCAACGCCAATATCAGGCTTAACCTCATTTTGGGTTTTGCTATTGGGATGCTGGTGCGTCTACCAAACATTTGCTTGAAGAATCAAATCAGTAATCAACAGGGACTTGTAGTATGCGTTAGATAAAGTCCGAAAACGATTGGCATTTCGGGATTCTCAATGGGAAGAGCGTATTGTGGCGGAACTCGATTCGTCATTGAATGAATGGGTTGCAAGGATTCCGCTGCATCGTGAGCTGCCGTCACGTTCGATGGCCCGCTAGATACTGATTTTTTTACTCTGTAGTCCGATGGGATGCGACAAAGCAGTCCAAACCTATTTCCTCGCTGTCCGCCCGTGCAGAGCTGTTTCTCGACCAGAGTGCTGTCCTCTACGCGCACTACTACTTTACGCAAGTCACAATACATCGGCCGTTTATTCCCCAACTGCGCAAAGGGTCGCCCACCGTAAGTTGTCTAAACCATTGACAATCTGTTCTTGACTGCGATTAGGGCGCCCCTTCTTTGGCCGTCTGTACTAATGCGGCTAGGTCTCTTGCACACGTTATCCGCAAGATCCATGGTCGAAAAAGCGGGGCAGCTGATGCGAGACCGCCGTTTCCCGGCGCCTTGGTCGGTTCTACTATTGTTTATCACACACCAGTCTGATAAGCTCAGATGCCAGCTTTTATGGCGAGTATCATACTTACCCTCAATGTCTGGAGCGGAAAGCGGACCGGCTTGCCGCCGCACATGAACACTGCTACAGAGGAGGTCAAGGCTTGTATGGCGTATCTGAAGAGCTGTGAGAAGCGGTACGACATTGTGGCTGCCTCTTCTTCTTTCTTCTATTAACGGACATTCATAGCTGGCAAGGCGCTGGACTGTTCTGGTGAGCTCTTTGCGGAATGTTAACGAATACATCGTCATTGACAAATCGGCTAGGGACGTTCTTTCGGAGCTCTGCACTTTCTCCAGTGTGCCGGTCCCAGTGTCTCCTCCGCCGCTTACACCCACGACAACCACGGGAAAGGTTAAGAAGCGGACAAGATTGTCGCAATCCCCGACTGCCGCCCCCGCCGCAGCGGTGTTGGTCCCTCAATTTTCCGTCTCCGCCGAGAGACATGGATATGCCCCGCCGGAGGAGACGTCTTCAGAGTGGGCACCATCCAGGCCAAAGCCTATGTGGCCCTTCAAAGGCAGCCGTGAAGAGGCAGCAGACTCACCGGCTATGCCTTCGACATCATCTGCTGTCCCTTCCCAAGTATCAGAGCCAGATTTGCAGACGAGTACCGTGGAGCTAGCACAAATGCCAATATTTCAGCGTTACTCATCGGTATCTGGCGCTGGCGAAGATATTGGTGCTGCGAAGGGGTCAGACTCTACAATGCTCGATGCAGCGACGGTGGATGTCTTGGCGGGTATGCCGACGACCTTTGGCGGGTAAGAGCTTTGCTCGTCTGTTTTTCAATCGGACTAATATTTGGTCGGCGGCCAGGATGGAAGATTGGTACACCTACTTTGCTAGCGTTTCCCAGGCGGAAGAGCAAGCGTGGAGACCGCCTTGATGGCCTAAACAGTCATTTTTACTACCATTGTCATAGAACGGTGGACGTAATGGAAAGATAACCATTCTTTTTCTGACTACATACAATATCCAACACGCGCAAGTAAGGTGCAATTCTGTCCATTATGTAATACTCCATCTGAGGATTGGTACTACTTAAGTTATTTCTGTAGCATGATGTAACACACCATGAAAGCAAGTGTCAGCGGTGGCTCAGACTGTCAGCAGCTAGACTAAGTAATCACCACTGGTCAGGTAAGGGGAACATTCAGGCTAGAAGGAGGGGGGGGCAACTAGCTGAACTTGAATTGATTTTTTGGGAAGCATCATGGCAATCTTACCAAGATAAAGAAGCTATAGAGGAATTTTACACTTGTTTGTCCACTTATTGGACCTGCTATAGGCTATAGCCCAAAGCAAGAAGTATCAGGTAATATTGCAGTCTAATTTATTACCTTTTAAAACTCATGTGACTCAAAATGAAAATGAAAATAAGTCTAAGTCCTTATTTTTCTATCCCTTATATCTCAGTCCAATTAGATATAAAAAAATATTTAATCAATATATAGAAATTTCCCTACAAGGGAATATAATATAGATCTTTTAGAACCTTAGTCAATTGACTCAAGTCTGGCCTCTGCCTATCATACTGGGATTTATACAAAAGTAAAGCTGGCAGGAGACCTCCCCTTTGAGCCTCTCTGTCAGGGGAACCCCCGCTTCGGCCTCCTTCGGACCCTCCGAACGCATCCGAGGCGCATCCGACCGGCGCCCCCTCGGACGCTCCGACCCACCCCGACCATCGTCCACGGCCTCCTTCGCCCGCACAATCACCGATCCGTCAAGACCCTCCCAACGATCACCTTGGGACAGAGCCTGCGACGCCGCTCAGGCCTTCTGCGCTCTACGTCGGCAGTTACGGACGACCAGTATATAGTTGGCGCCCTAGCAGGCGGACCCTTAGAGTTTCTTCTCTTTGGATCCTCCCCTGCTAGGTCGGTCCCTCCGTGTATTTCCTGTAGTCTTATTCACGCTTTGGATCCTCCCCTGCTAGGCTTTCGTCGGAGTCTCCAGGGTTGCCCTTACAGCAGAAGAAACTCTCTACGGGATTAACCGGTCAAGATTGCCAGGTTTGGTGCTGACTCAGGCTCGGAGTACGAGTCCGTACCCCCCTCGTCACCGCCCCTGCCACTTGACCCCTCCTCCTCCCACTTGACCCCTCCTCCTCTGCTCTTGTCGTCTTTACGCCCGCTATGTCTACCGGAGCTGCTCCGGACGCTGACGCGCGCATGGACGCACTTGAGGCGAAACTAGACAACCTCACCAATATCCTCACCCACCTTGCTTCCCAGGCTTCCGCTGCCGCACCACCTCCGGCAGCTCCCGAACCGCCGCCGGCATCTCCGAATGCCCCCCGACGCGGATGCGTTATTTGGTGACATTACTGTCGCCTCAAAACTGGTCTTACGACCAAACCCCCCGTTTGCGTTTAACGGAGATCGCAAACGGCCGCGCCTTCCTATACGCGGTCAAAACCTACGCTCGGCTTGCCCGGAGGCCTTCGTAGTTAACGGAGAGCCGAGTGAAGAAAAGGCCGTCCGCTACGCCATGTCCTATATGGCAGAGGGACCTGCTCAGCAATGGGCAGAGCGTCATGGGAGCAAAAACCCCTTCCCTTTCCCTCGGTGGAGCCAGTTCCTCTCCGAGTTTCGCCTTCGGTTCGTCGGAGGAGAACGAACAGGACCTCGCTCGCTAAGTTGGAAAGCGTGGGTTATCACATGGGAACGCGGGATGTCTACGGATATACCGACGACTTCGAGGACTTGATGGACCTCGCTGGCTTCGAAGACGTGTTGGTTAAGGTAACCAAGTACCGCCACGGACTTGACCCCTTGATCAACAACGGCATCACCTCTTCGAACGACCCCCCAGACCTCCGTGACTATCTGGGCTGGCGCACTCGGGCTTTCAGGATAGGCAGTCAGTTTTGCTAGCAAAACCTGGGCTACTGGTCAAGGGTGTTACTCGCAAAACTGGGCAAGCCCAAACGGGATGCTGTGACAGGAAAATGTGACATTCAATCAATTGTGAATATCTCAATGAGTTTGATAGCTATGACTAAGCTATTACCAGATATGGAAAGGCAAATCACCATTTCTTCAGGCCGAAGACCCGGATAAACATCTAGGTAGGCTTGTGATGCAGGGCAAAGGTATACATCCTAATTGGGTTGAAATTGATGTATCTTGACAGAGCCATCAAAAGCACTGATGTCAATCAAAAATCGTTCCACATCAATTACTTTATCTTGATGCTATCAATTCCATCATCAATATCATGATCTAACACCTAAATATGAATAAAATAAGTTTTCAAAAAGTGTGACATTTGTGACCCTTGGGCAGTCCCCCAGGTTTTGTGAGTAACACCCTTGACCAGTAGCCCACATTTTGCTAGCAATTCTGAGTGAATGAGCTGGGGCTTTCTGACAATATGAAGCCCTGGTGCGAGCGAAGCTCATTAAGGGAACGGCTACCCCGCGGACCGCTTCGGGAGCTCCGCGGCGCCTTCCCCATCACTCGTTCGGCAACTCCGTTCCCCATCCGCCCGGTGGCCCCGCCTGTGCCACCCGCGGCCCGCGCCCCGTCCCGGTACCTCCGGCTCCCGTCCCTATGGAGCTGGATCGTACTAGGGCTCGGGGTGCCCCTCGTCGAGCCTGCTTCAGATGCGGCGACCCCAACCATTTGGCTCGGGACTGTCTGCTCCCCCCGACGTCCGCCATGTGGACATCCTCGACGAGGTAATCCAGCAACTTGGCGATGAGATGCTGGGAGAGCTGCTTGCGCGGTTGTCCGATACTGCGGCCTTAGCGGAGGCGCATTCGGAGGCTCCGGCAGAGGATTTTGTCCCCCGCGACGAGTGACTGGTGTGCCCTCGTTCGCGTCCATAAATCGTTTCACTTGTTTGTATGATGAATCAACTCCCTTGCCCTACAACGAGCCCGAAACGAAAGACGCACCCTCTGCCCCCTCCGAAGCCCCCGTTCGGATTCGCCGACTTGCCTGGGAGAAAAAGCTACCTGGCAGTTATACCATCTCTGCCGCTCCTGGCGTTAACTCGCTGCACCTCCCCCTTGAACTTGAGTCCACTGCGAACACGCTCAAGCTCTCCCTCTCGGGTCTGGTCGACTGCGGAGCTACCTGGACTTTATCGACACAGAATATGTCAACCGGAATAATGTGCCAGTCCGAAATCTCTCAGTACCCATCCCGGTCTACAACGTCGACGGCACCCCCAATGATGCTGGGTCTATTCGCCAAATCGCGGACCTCGTTCTACGGTACAACGGACACTCCGAACGCGTTCAGCTGGCTGTAACCCACCTTGGGAAACAGGACCTGATACTCGGATACTCCTGGCTCAAAAAGCATAACCCCGAGATCAACTGGGAAACAAAGGAGGTGAAAATGAGTCGTTGCCCCCGCAGCTGCTCTACCTGCCGTGACGAAGAGCGGACCGAACGCGCCGAGGTTCGGCGGCTCCGACTCCTTAAATCACGACTACTTGCGGGCGCCTTCCCCACTGTTTGCGCTATCGATATCGCTGGCCCAGATGATGCTGACGACGAGCTCGGAGCTGCTCCGGACCCTCCGGAGCCCTCACCAGATCTCGACGGCGACGAGCATCTTGAAGACGGCGACCGCATCTTCTACACCTCCTTTCGCCCAGTTGAGGAGATCCCGCTGGCAGTACAGTGTCCCAACGCCTTGCAGAGGCCTTCGCCCGTAACTCGGCCCCTCCGCCTTCGGAGATCCCGGACTGGGCCAAGGAGTTCCAAGACGTCTTCGACAAGGAGTCCTTTGACACGTTACCAGAACGAAGGGCTTGGGACCACGCTATCGAACTCGTCCCCGACGCGAAGCCCGCTAACTGCAAGGTGTATCCGATCTCTCCCTCGAACAGGCGAACTTGACGAGTTCATCAAGGAAGGACTTGCCACAGGCCGTATTCGCCCTTCGAAATCTCCGATGGCCTCCCCCGTCTTCTTCGTTAAGAAAAAGGACGGAGGGCTTCGGTTTGTCCAGGACTACCGCGCCCTCAACGCAATGACGATTAAGAACCGGTACCCCCTTCCGTTGATTAACGACCTTATCAACAGGCTCAAGGGCGCTCGTTACTTCACCAAACTCGATGTTCGCTGGGGTTTTAATAACGTCCGGATTAAAGAAGGAGATGAGTGGAAGGCGGCCTTTCGGACTAACCGAGGGTTGTTCGAACCTTTGGTGATATATTTCGGCCTGACAAACTCCCCCGCGACGTTCCAAACGATGATGAATGACATTTTCCAGGATCTCATTCTTTCAGGCGACGTTATGATCTACCTCGACGACATCCTTATTGCACATTCGGACCTCCGCAAGCACCGCGAGATCGTCCGGGGAGGTCCTCGGCGGCTCGAATGCACAAGTTGTACCTTCGCAAGGAAAAGTGCGACTTCGAGAAATCGTCAATCGAGTACTTGGGGGTCATTATCTCGCACAACCATGTCGAAATGGACCCCGTTAAGGTCGCCGGAGTCTCCGCATGGCCTCCGCCCGAAAACAAGAAGGACGTTCAGCAGTTCCTGGGGTTTGCTAATTTCTACCGCAGGTTCATTCGGGATTTCTCGGCCCTAGCGCAACCTCTCTTTGCGCTCACCAAGAAAGACCAGAAATGGACCTGGGGAGACGCCCGGGCCGCCGCCTTTCAAGCCATCAAGGACGCGGTCGTATCAGAACCTGTCTTAGCGATCCCGGACGACTCTCGGCCTTTCCGACTTGAAGCAGACAGCTCAGATTATGCGACGGGGGCGGTTCTTTCACAACAATCCGCCCCGGACGGGAAGTGGCACCCTGTAGTGTTCTATTCCAAAAGCTTAAATGATGTCCAGCGCAACTACGAGATTCACGACAAGGAGATGCTCGCGATCATCCCGCACTCGAGGAGTATCGGCATTTCCTCGAGGGCGCCGCGCATCCGGTTGAGATCTGGACTGACCATAAGAACTTGGAATACTTCCGAAAGGCGCAACACCTTAATCGTCGGCAAGCCCGATGGTCGTTGTACCTTTCCAGGTTTGACTTTACGCTGCACCACGTCCCCAGGTCGCCAGATGGGCCGTCCCGATGCTCTCTCCCGCCCGGCCTGACCACGGTATCTCCGACGACAACTCGGATGTCACCCTCTTACGCCCGGTGTTCCACGTTCGCGCTTGAGGCCGTCACTGTCTCTGGGCCTGGCTCCGAACTTGTCCGCGACATCAAGGAAGTGCTATCCGGTGAGCCTGACCTAGAGGAACCCGTCGCACTTGCGGCTCGGCAACTCTTGAAGGTCCGAGGTCAAGCTCGGGGCCCCTGCTCATCGTTCGGACGAGTGGGCCGTCTCAGGCGACCTCCTGTACTTCCGCGGCAAGGTTGTAGTCCCCAAAGACAAAGACCTGAGGAGGCGCATTATAGAGCTCTGCCACGACACGCGTGTCGCCGGACATGCCGGGCGGTTCAAGACCCTGGAGTTGGTTTCGCGCAACTACTGGTGGCCACAGATGTCCCGCCATATCGGATGCTACGTCGCGACCTGCGACTTATGCTGTCGCACGGAAGGCCCTCCGAAGGCTTCCGCACGGGGAGCTACATCCAACCGAAGTCCCCCGAGCGCTGGCACACCGTCACTGTGGACTTCATCGTCGAGCTCCCGAGGCCCATGGGTATGACGCGGTTATGGTAGTGGTTGACGCCCTCGGGAAACGCGCTCACTTCACCGAATGCCATACGACAATAGACGCGGTCGGAGCTGCCCGCTTGTACTATCGGAACGTCTGGAGACACCACGGAACCCCCGAGAAGTACATTTCGGACCGCGGTTCGCAGTTCATCGCTGACTTTACGCGCGAACTCTGGCGCTTAATTGGCGTCAAGCCGGCTACCTCTACGGCTTACCACCCGCAGACCGACGGACAAACCGAACGCGTTAACCAGGAGCTCGAGCAGTACATCCGAATCTTCACCAACTACCAACAAGACGACTGGGACGAGCTTATCCCTGCTGCTGAGTTCGCCTATAACAACCACGTTCACTCCTCCACTCAACAGGTACCCTTTATGACGGACACTGGCCGGCTCCCCCGAATGGGTTTCGAGCCGGGCACCCGCTCAGAGTTGGAGTCAGTGAACGAGTTTCGCGATCGGATAGCGAACGGCGTCTCCGAGGCGAAGGCCGCGCTCGTCAAAGCCAGAGACGAGTATAAACGGTACTACGATCGGAGACGATCGGACGCTCCGAATATTCAAGTTGGTGATAAGGTTTGGTTAGATGCCTCTGACATCAGAACAACTCGGCCCTCCGAGAAGTTCTCCCACAAGCGCCTCGGACCGTTTAAGGTGCTCGCAGAGGTTAGTAAAGGTGCCTACAAGCTCGACCTCCCCCGCGTTACTCCAAGCTCCACCCCGTCTTCCCCGTTGTTAAACTCGAGCTCGCTCAGGACGACCCCTTCAATGGACGACCCGGCTACGACGAACCGCCCCCGAACTAGAGGACGGAGTCCCCGAGTGGGAAGTCGAGGAAATCTTGGATGCCAGGATAAGGTATAAGCGTCTTAACTACTTCGTCAGGTGGAAAGGCTACGATGCTTCGCACGACTCGTGGGTTCGGTTCGACCGTGTCTTCGCGCCAGACAAAATTGCGGACTTCTATCGGAGGTACCCAGGTAAACCACGGCACATCGCCTCAGCGACCTTCGACTCCTTGCCCTTCCGAACTATGCGTCGGGACGCCGCATTCAAAGGGGGGTGATGTCAGGGGAACCCCCGCTCGGCCTCCTTCGGACCCTCCGAACGCATCCGAGGCGCATCCGACCGGCGCCCCCTCGGACGCTCCGACCCACCCCGACCATCGTCCACGGCCTCCTTCGCCTGCACAATCACCGATCCGTCAAGACCCTCCCAACGATCACCTTGGGACAGAGCCTGCGACGCCGCTCAGGCCTTCTGCGCTCTACGTCGGCAGTTACGGACGACCAGTATATAGTTGGCGCCCTAGCAGGCGGACCCTTAGAGAGTTCTTCTTCTTTGGATCCTCCCCTGCTAGGTCGGTCCCTCCGTGTATTTCCTGTAGTCTTATTCACGCTTTGGATCCTCCCCTGCTAGGCTTTCGTCGGAGTCTCCAGGGTTGCCCTTACACTCTCCATTTCAAAACCTTTCCAAGTCTTATGAATTTTAGTGATGAGTAATAAAAATAGAAAACACTAAATATTAAAGGAAGTTAACTTATTCAGATTGTAAGACAGATTGTGAAAGAAGCAGTGACATAAAAGAGGGTTAATTATCTGTATGTAAAAGTCATTATAATAGAAGCCAAAGCCAAAAAATGTGCATTAATCATAGCGAGAAATATAAGCCCTTTACAATCTTCAGATATCTTTAATCTGCCCTGGTAGTGTTTTTGAAAATAATTATATGTAGGCTGAAACATGAGATAATAAAGAAATCAATAATTTATCAATTTAATTAGAGGGCAGATGAAGGATTGCTTTGCTTTTGTATACTTTCCTCAGCAAGTATAATGCTTGCCATATGATTTTCTGGTCTACTAGTAGTTTGAGACTCAATGTTGAACTGGAGAGATGTGACAGTGTTATTGATATTACTTGAGGCTTCAGATCTAGAATGGGAACCACGGATGATGATAAGGTTAAAGGCAATTCCAACACTGTGAAATGACTAATTGCCAATCAGCAAATAGAGAGATTCATATGATAAGACCAATACTAACTAATGCACTGGCAGGGTGATTGAGTGTACTTTGCTTTGCAAATGCAATAGACACAAGGATTGTGGTGGTTGTAATGATTAGTCCAGACTCTATAATGTTGCGCATTGCCTGTGCAATGGGGCCTTTGGGTTTTACAAATAAGTGATGGCTGAATGAGGAGTTCCTGAGCTGTGAATTCTGCTTCTCAACCCTCCACAAGTGGTAGAGAATAAGGCCTATTAATATAACCTTAATCAACCTTGACTTTAACTAATTAGATTTTTTTGGCCTACCTGTTGCATATGTATTGATGCCAATGCTCAGAATCCAGAAGGCATTCCCCCATGGTTGGACACTTTTGTCATTATCCAAACCCTTTGTCACTTTGCTGAGAAGAATGTGAAACCAGATGTTCAGAATAAAGTTTGCAATCCAGCTAATAATAGGCAGGATAATAATCAGCCTGTTGTTGGGCTGCCAAATAACAAATAGTCGCCAAATCTAATATAATTCATTGATGTTAATGTAGATTATTTATGCTTACCAGAATTGCATCTCCCAGCAATGTCTGTACCCCCACACATGCAGTCTTATAATACAATAAGGTGCTGCAGCAGAGAACAATATAACTTACTGCTGACAGAATGATCCACCCAGTAGTATGTGCAAAGACATCTACTGAATTTCTGGATCCTGTAAATGCATCCATTGCCTCCCAGATAAGCAACACAGTATCAAGCACTGCATTTCCTGCAAGTGCAATACAGACACCCAGGACCACCCAGTTTATCTCTCGGTTTGTGCGCAAGTGACCATTAGGATGGGTAAGGAGCCGGGTAACAGTTGGAATGAGGGTGACAAGGTAGATGCCAAAGAGGAAGACTGCTATGTATGTTGTTAGAAGGCTGGCAGCAACGAGCGAGAGCATTGTGTAGACAGAGAAAAGCTTAGGTAGCCGCCTACAGGGTGAGCTCTCTAATAAATGGCGGGCCCAAATCTGCTATTGTGCAAAGATCAGCGGGATGATATCTGGGACAGAAGATTTTCCATTCAAAAATCATCATTCAGATTGCCTTATCACATTCGGAGATATCACAGCGCTCATACACCGAATTACTTCATGCCCGTTTCTGCCCGTTGGAAGTAGGGTCGCGCAAATTCTGAACTTCAGCAGTACTTGAAAGATGAAACAAAGAAGGGCTGAACAAATGTATTCAGTGAAGGGTACACAAGACAGGACTAAGGATCTACAATAAAGAGAGAGAGAGAGAAAGAGAGAGGAAAACATCCATCAGACAAACGCCCAGCTCGCCGACCGCGCTCCCCAGCAAGCTTGCGCAAGCCAGAAAGCAGCGGCCGAACGTCCTCGAGACCCGCCACTGAAGGCGGGCCATGTTCTCGGTTAGAACGAGCGGGCGCGGATGTCATCGCGTGGATGTGAAGGATGCGGCATTTGTAAAAATGCGAGTACTCGGTCAGTTTCTATAAAAAGATCCTGATGAGTATGTATCTGAGGAAACATGATGGCGCGCGCGCGGTTATGTAGGGCGGGCAGGGTGGTCCGTGCGCCGCTGTCACGTGCTGATGCGGTGATGCGGAGGAAATTTGTGGGGGAATTTGTCGGTCAATGGATCGGTAGATGTGCTTTCCCAATGTTATTGTAGATAGCTAGAGCACAAAAGGCAAAAATAAAAATAAACGGCGCAGACGACGCCGGGGCCTAAACGGGGCTGTCTGCCTCCCAAGTACTTCTCTCTAGCTTTGGCAGGGCCATGGACCCTCTTGTCGTTTCAATGTCGTGCGTAACATGGACGACAATTGTGCGGGCGTCTGCGTCGTCGTCGTTCTTCTCCACATCGGAGTGGCCGGAGCGCATGCTCGCCTGGCGCGTCATGGTCCCAGAAGAGCCGACCATGGTGGTCGTGTTGTCGTTGCAGTCTTGGCTGACGCCCCGGCCAACTCTTACAATGATTAGCGTAGGCACGATTCCCTAGTCGGGGGAGTAAGTTAAATGCGCAACAGTGCAGAATAGCACACGCACAACGAGCTGCGCTAAGGCGGCATAAACGACCTGGTCCATCGGGTTGTCATAATGGAAGTAGATCATGTGGATGGACACAACGAGGGAGTAGATGAGCCCCGACTCGAGACTAGGATTTCCTCGTCAGTTCCTGAAGGAATAGGATAACACAGACACGCACAGGATGACCATCGCCTTTCGACCCTGCTTCCTTGTCTGCTCGCTCGCTATGCCTCGTATCCGGCGCAATACCCACCATAGACGGCCCGCTAGAGGGGAATGGGAATTAGGTCCACAACAAGTTTTGGAAATCAGGACACACCAACGAGGGCAGGGACGAGGAGATTGGTGGTCAATGACAGGATGAAGAACAGTTTCAGCTGGATTGCATAGCCCAGAACTACGTGAATCAGTGATTGGAATGATGCTTTTTCAAGGAGCGCGTACACATTGTCGCCGCAAGCAGCAGCAACGGAACGATCGTGACATAGACTGTGTTCCAAATGACATAGCAGCGGTAGATGAGGAGTGCATCAGCAAAGACACTGGGGAAGTCAACTTCAATATTGCCAAAGACAATGAATCCACGCACTTGTTCGTTACATAGACGACAGCCCCGGCGATTTGGAGCTCATCTAGCCGCAAACGGACCGACCCGTAGGCTGTGGCGCCTTGCAGCAGGAATATGAGCACGGACGTTGTGGAGAGTGTGAACATGATGATGGCGCTAATGAGGAGGATGTGTTGCGAGCTTCCCGAGCGGGAGCCACGGAGGAGAATGGACATGCAGCGCCAGAAAAGGACGAGGTAGATGCCTGATAATGACAATTAGAGGATCATCGGTGGGAAGAGGGAGGGAAGGCACCATAGAGGAGGGTAGAGACCTACGAAGACCATGAGACATGTGAGAGGAAGATCAGAAATAGAGCGCACCCATAGGGTTGAGACTCCGATCCACAGAGAGGGAGCCTGCGGCTAGTCATTTTGGTGTTGACCAATATGAAGAAAGCCCACCATGGACAAGGGGGGTTACAAACAGTCGGCCAGCGTGAATGAAGAAGAGGAAAGGAAAGAGTCGAAGGCGATTGCCGCTGCGGAAGCAGAAATGATATGGCTCGGGCTGGCGGGGGCGCAATGAGACCGGGGGCGTTGCTAAGGACGGCTATACATACCAAAACTCCATGAGATTCTCGCTCTTCATTGATGCGGTGTACCGAGATAGGCCATCGATGGACAGATGAGAGTTGGGGCCAATTTGGGCGTCAATATCAATGGCGACCGCGGGCGACACGGTCTCCGTGACAGATGGGAGCAGTTCCCATCTCCAAAGTTTTGGCGCGAGAAATGCACAGTTGTTTTAGAGGTCGGATGTTCCAGGGCGCGCTGACGAGCGCAGTCCTCAGAGTCACCGCCATGCAGATGCGCTGCGGAGTGGAATCCGAAAGAAAGTCAGTGATTGATTTGTCATCCTCCCGTTTTGCTACCGACTTCCATGTCTACTGCGCAAACGCTGCCTCCCACTGGCTCAGGCGTCGAAGAACTGCCTCCCCCGCCTCTGAGCCCACTCCCGAGCGATCCACCGCCGCCTTACCCCAGGAGAACACGTCATTCTGGTCGACATCATGACCACACTCATACGCAAACCGTCTCAGTCGAGTCTGACGACGATAACGAAGCCACCCCTTTCCTCTCGCACCACCATGGACCGCGCCAAAACGGCCCAGGGAGGCCCCGCTCCAACAGCGCTGTCTCGGTCGCACCCTCGCTGGCGCAAACTATCGCGTCAATCTTCCACATAGATGATGACGAGGGAGATGGAGATTGCAGGCTGCCAGAGGATGCTGAAAGTGGCATGGTTGTTCAGCAAGATCCGCAGCAGACCGACTTCGCGTGGAGAAGATACTTCCGACCCTTGACACGCAGCGTCTATTACCAGGCGCTTTTCCACCTCTACGTGGTCAACTTCCCCTTTGCCCTCGCAGCGTTCCTCTTTGCCTTCGTCCTCACCGTTGTATGTTCTTTTTCTCACTGTTTTCCCATCGTTTACCAGCCACACACTTAGACGGGGACGACACTGCTTGTGGTACTTCCATTGGGAGTACTGCTCTGTTTTCTCAACCTGGTTGGTGTTAGAGCGTTTGCGCGAGGAGAGGTACGCCATATTTCACCACTTATCGCGTATTTTGACTGCCTGAAGCTAGCTCTTCAAACCCGCTTCCATTCCCCATTGGCCTACCCAGCGCCTTATCCCCCTCGTCCAATCTTTGTCCGCCACCACGATAGCGGACACGGCCCCGAGCCGTCCTTCTACAAGAACGCCAAAGCACTAGTTCGTTCCCTTCCTTTCTTTTACCACATCCACTCACTCTGTCCAGTTCACGGACTCCACGTCCTACCAGGCGCTCTTTTACTTCATCGTCGTCAAGCCCTGCATCACGCTGGTCCTCTCCCTCGCCCTCCTCATGCTCGGGCTGCCCGCGATCGTCCTCGTCCTCCCGGCGCCGATGGCCTTCCGCGCAATCAGGAAACTCGGCGTTTGGCAGGCAAATGTGGCTGTCGAGGGCTTGTATCTGGTCGTGCGATGACCGCCGAAAATGTTGGACGACAAGGAATTTTTGGCGGGAACGACCACCATGGCCATTACCTGTTATAACTTGGCCTTCTTGAAATGTGCAAGAGGCCGTTGCCGGATCCTTCTCACAACATCCCAATCCCTCTCGACACGAATCCTTCTCGCTCGTATTGCCTGTCTCAAGGGCAGTCGTGTCTTATTAAGGGCAGTCGCAAAAACACACATCAACCTCGGCAAAAACACTATTTTGCAATGCAGTCTGGTCCTCCCATCCACACTGTCCATGAAATCCACCACATCCATCCATATTCCGGGTCTTCCAGCATACTTTTTTGTCGAGCCGAGTCTTGGGTTACGTCACACTACCAGCACGGTTTTTCATCTTCCCTCCGGCCACCTGGTCTCTTGGCCAACTGTACCGCCAGATAGAACGATATCAAAAGTCCACGCCTTGAAGTTTTGGTCGTGATATTTGGATGGGAAGCTCTTCCCTGAACGCCAATTCATGACGGGCATGACTTCGTCGTATTCCCCACGCAGCATTCTTCCGATAACAAGGGCGACATGGAGTATCCTAAAGACCCTTACATGCGGCACCATCCGACAAGATTTGACGACTTATTAAAGCTTCATGGTCGCCTCGAAGGTCAAGGACGCACTTTCGTGTCTATTTTTTCGCCGTGGTGATGACGTCATACCTCGAGCGATTTTTTTCGCCATGCCCGCGCATGCTGGAGCTCTATCGACGCCGCCTTCGGGAAGGATAACCACGGAACCCCATACCCTAAAGTTATCTCCCTGGATTTTCGACAGGAAGGCCTCCGGTGGACGTGAATTCATCCGGCGCTTGACTTGGTCGAATTCGCCATGCGGTTTTCGAGGCTGTCCTTTGGGGCGTCTTGGGGTGTTTCCGGTGGTGCGGAGGAGTGTTGGGAGACGCTTTTGTATGCTGTATGCGTCAATGCTGGGTGATTCCTTGAGCAGGATGTCAAATACTCTCACTGGAGCGACCTTGCTACTATTACCCTTTCGATATGCGTCCCAGTTACACCAGTTACAAGAGATTTATTTACATTGAATGCTTTTAGCTCTAAAGTACTTCGTTATTAGACCGTCACTATTGCGGTGTCTGTGCTATCATAGCGTTTCATGGGCTCCAGGAAGACGATGTCTTCGTGGGGCGGCACGACGTCCTAGGTGGACATGTCAGTGAACAATCCAAGCGCAAGGACAAGACTGACATGCGGGATGCAGGGAGCGGGCGGCGCGACTACGACGGAGAGTGTCGCGAGGGTTGTTAGCGGGCGGTCGACCTCGCGGCGGAGCTCGGCGCGGAGGTTGAGGCTGATAAGGGAATAAAATGAGAAGGCGGAGGATAGGGAAAGGAAGTGGGGGCTTACTTTGCGAGAAGGGCGTTAGTGTACAGGGGTCCGTAGAGTAGATAGACAGCCTGGGGATATGATGAGCGCTTGCGGTGTGGTAAGTATAGCGAGAACGCACGACGTAGATGAATGAGTGCGGAGAGAGAAGGATCTGCAAGGGCGTTAGGGGTCTGCGTATCTGCGGTTTGTGGGGCGTACTGCAGCCAAGATGGCGAACGATAAGATGCTGCAGGATGTGAGCAGCCGTGGGTTGCGGGGAGTAGACGGGTACCTGGTGAGGAGGCCGGTTGCGATGGTGTATTTCATGATTTTTTGGAGGATGATTCGGGTTCTTCTGTCGGCTTGTCAGTCGATAACGAGCCGGACAACGGTATGGCCGTGCCTGTGTGGTTTATGGATGCTTTGGTCCGAGCCGAGCGTGATGTCGTTCCTCCGAAGGTAGACGAGAAGTGTGAGGGCGAGGACCAGGTCGACTGCGGTAATATGAGTGATGGTGTATAGCACGAGTTGAGGCAACGAACCAACAGCAAGCAGGACAGCGCCTGAGATTACTTGACGCGCGACGCGCTGATACTCGGCGACGACAGCGTTGAGCAGGACCTGCACCATGACCGCGACCTCGAGGAAGAACCCGGCGAGGCAGCCGAGCGCGAGGGTGCCCGTGACAAGCCAGTTGTGGCGGCTGAGCACCCAGATTCTGGTTGAAGGTGAGCAGATTCGCCGCGAGATGCGGAAAGCACGTGCCGCTGGAGGAGGAACGATTGGCAGAGCAGGGTGGGGACCGACACCAAGGCAAACTCGCCGTTGAATAGTTGGGGGACGACGAGGAGCGCGGAATCGTTCCCCCAGCTCGTGACGAGCTTGCTGTACACCGTGTGTGCGACCAGGCATAGATGGGTCGTGTTCATGGTCCTGGGCGGTGTCAGCGCGGAGAGACAGAACGGGGCGAAAACGGACCAGACGGTCGCAACCTGCGAACGCAATCAGTGATATTCTGCGGCAGCGGCGGATATGACGCACGAGTGTTTTTATCCAGCACGGGTCGTCCGCGAAGTTGAGGAAGTAGGTGAATGTCTGCACCGTGACGAGACCTTGGAGGCTGGTCGCAGTCTACCAAGTGCAGAGAATGGCAGCAAATCTACTCACAATGCTTCGAACAGCACTGGAGCCAGGTCAGTCTGTTTCCGCGGGTGAAAAGGGAACTCACGCCCAACAAAGATCGCGCCGTAGGTCTGGCTAACTTCCGACATCGCGGCCGCGCTCATCCCCACTGCTGACGTTCGTGCGCTTCAGTGCAGCCTAGCAGGTGAGCCGTGGAAGGGATGGGGGGTGAAGGAAGACACGAAAGGATTTTCTCTGAGTTCCCCGCGCGTATTATATGCAAATACTTATGGGGTCCAAAGTTGCCGACGTCAGAGTGACATCGGATTGGCAATTATTACATAAGTACGGGTCGCCGACGATGCGCCGTCAAGTGTCGGCCGCCGCAGGGTAGTCTTCAGAGAGGAAGGTTATCGCCAGTGAGAAAAGCGCTACTATCTAGCGCTATGCTAAAGAATGTGGTCACACAGAAATCGTCACAACCTCTGAATCTTCTTCTTCTTTCCGCGTCTGCCAATACGACTGTTCCTCACCTTGGGGACGTCGACGTCGGGCTCCCCGCGTTCCATGGCCCAGTTAGTGATAACTTGGGCTTGAATTCACCAGATAGAGTACTCACCAAAGGCGGCGGAAAGGGGTGAATTGGGACCTAATTTAGGACGGACAACATGCATTTAGCGTTGCTCCCGCGCGTGTCGTTCTCGGCTGTCATCTGCAAGTGTGTCCGCTCAATACAGACTAGCGTGCATTTACTTATCGCTCAGCTTGGTTCTCTCGCGCGAATTTCACTTACAAGTTACTCCGGCGCCGCCTCGATACGACCACGACATCTTAGTACCTGGTATTTGTCTGCTACCCAGGAGGCTCTTACTCGCGATGGATCATAGCTGTTCATATGCAATATGGAAAGCACCGGTTACCCGGCCTAACCGAGACGGTCGTTAGTTCTTGCGAGCTCTTGCCGTCTTCCCTAAGCCCTTCTCCTCCCGGGGCACCGTGGCAACATGAAGGAACTTGAAAACACAGGGCTAGCGCGCCTGGTAAGCTCACATACTATTGAGGAAGCGTTGCCCGGCTTACAAGCTCCTCTATAGTGTGTCTGTAGGAAGCTCCATGGGCTCAGTTTGTGGCCTCTTTCGATACGAGGAATCCAGCTTGCAATCGAACATTTCGGAATCTTGGGGACTCGACAAGCTTGAGATGCCATGCTAGATTGTCTGCTGCTGCGGGCACCTGAATGCAAGTCGTCCTCTCCTTGACCCAAGGGACATTCGAGTCTCCGAATCGGAGTCCAAGAACACATTTCACACAGCAATTCTGGTCCCGTATCCCAAGCTCCGAGTCTGTTCCTTCGATTCTTTAGATGTCATACTATCCTTCCACAGTGAGTTCCACTCAACGCTGCCTCCACCCCCGCGACCCTGCTTACCCAAATTTTCATGCTCCATATCCAACCTCTCGTCATTTGTGCTGGTATCGTTCTAGTGGTGCGAGAGGAGCCTTGTGGTGGTTTTACTGTCCCCGCTTGGCTATTTTCAGAGTCGGGCCGCTTGGCGTTATAAGCTTGCGTGCTTCGCAGGGCTTTTCGCGATCAAACTGTTGCTCGTCGACCTTTCTTATCATGCACAGAATACAGAATACATATGCACTGTTACCAAGGTACCATTGTCGAGTTTGTTCTTTCCTTTCTTCCAATCGTATGGAACTGGTCCAAGTTGTCCTATCCAACACGTGTGTCGCTTAGCATTCGTATCGTCGTGCTGGTGAGGACTTGAAGTTTGGAAAACCAATATATTTTCCTGCAACTTGAAGGTGATAATTAATGACCGTGACGTCGACCAAACGGTAACGAAATTCATTCGCTGGTAAATGGCAGGGAGGTTGTATCCAAATGCATTCACTGACAATCTACGACTACTGATACAGGCGAAACGTGCTACAGACTACTTACAGGATGGAGATGCTCGAAAAAGGATGCGCAGGGGATAAGGAAAGCTTTGTGGAGTCGAGGATGAGAAGTTACGAGCGCCAAGTGCCCGAATGCAGTCACACTGTTCATCGGCGTTTCTGCCACTTCGGGGCTGGCTTCTGGGGCTGAGCGGACGCAGTCACATTCTGGCTCGACGACGCCGGCGGTGGCAGGATGGGCTGTGGCCCCGTCCGAGGCAAGAAGGGATTCGACACGTCGTAGTGCTTGGCCGAGCCGTAAACGAGGCCCGGGTCCACGGTGGAGTAGGCGTAAGACGGGGCATTTCTAGAGGGTGGCATGGTCAGGAAATTGACGCAGACGACGGAAAGGGAGCGCACTGGGAGTAGCCAGAGTGTAAACTAGCATGCGCATACTCGGGGCTGCCTGCCAATCTGCAGAACGCGCTGTACTCTGCATTGAACTCGGGGTCACTGCATACCCAATTAAAGGTGTTCTCTGTGCTAGCACTGGCATTGGCATGTCCTGGCACAGGCCGCATAGGCGATACTGAGTCGGAAAGGCTCAGGCCCTCCAGCGAGAGATCGGTCTGCGCGAACGGCGCCCCTGCCACAGCTGGCCCAGGCTGGCGCTTGTGGTGGTCCTTGTGGTGGGCAGACTGGTGTTGCTTCGAGTGAGACATGACGATGGTGGCGCTGTGAACAACTTTTGAAGGTGCCCAGGGAGGGTAGTGGCGGTTGTGGAAGGAGAAGTTTGGTGAAGGGGTAACGATGTGACTCGTTGGCTTTATACCCAGACGCTTGCGATCACAGAAAAGCGCCATTCCGAGAGAGGTATCGGAAGCGGCGCCGGGCCGATCGTGGCATTGTTCATTCCAACTTGAACGCCGGCGCTTTGAACGTAGGAATGACTTCGGAGTTTATTGAGGCAATGGGTGTCGAGACATTGACGACGTTAACTGCGTTTAGATTAGCCCGGCATGTTTGCACTGTGAAAGCCTTACTATGCAGTAGTAGTGCCCTATAACGTCCAAGGCTGCATAAAAACAAACGTGGAGAGATGTCGACAGTCAGAGACTGCCAGCGAGATACAGATATCTACAGTGTCCTTTGGCGGAGAGGGAATTGACGACTAGAGCTGAGGTTCGCCGCAAAGTACGTATGAGCTAAGCAGTTGTTCATGGCCGACGCCGCCTTAAAAGATAAGTATAGTATCGATATCTGGAAGAGCCGAGTAGTAGAAGCCAAGGGAAGAGGGATGTAGCACAAAAAGTCAAGTCGCAAAGTAAATAATACGGAAGGTAGGGTGAATCAAACACGAACGAAAGCAATAGCAAAACAGATTCAGAGGATAAGGCAACACCTGCTGAATGCGCAAAGCATGGTAGTGAAAGAAGCGTCTGTGGCCCGTTTCCACTCGACCCATCAAATGATGACTGCGAGCCAAGATGGTAATGTGTATCCAAGTTGTCAGGCAAAGAAAGCCCGGTCGGGTGGAAGGGCTGGAGGCAAGGCAAGGCTTTGAGATCCAAATCAACGCTTCAGCGGATGATGAAGCAGTGAAACTAGCTCCTCAGCACTAGTTCCAGCACCAGGGACTATCCAAAACGGCCATGTACACCCTTCTGAATTTGGCTGCCTCGTCCACGGACAAGTCAAGACGGATCTCAAATCGCGTCCAACGACGACCTTCCAATTATCCGCACAGAGCGAAAACCTTTGAGTAGCTGGAGGCAGATGCCATTCACATAGGGATACACTTGGTTAAGCGATTGCGACGGTGTGTGGAAAGCATTTAAGAATCGTCTGTCGATGAGTGACGGTCACAAGTGTGACAGGCCGAGATGCGACGGAATTACGGATGGTGGGCGACGCGACGCGTTCATGATCTGGTCGGGGTCATGCGGGCTGGAAGTGCGAGTGACCTGAGGCTGGTCCGGTTTCTTCGCCGAGGAAAATGAAAGGAAAAGGGCAACAACTTGGAGGTGTCGTTGGTATGTCCTTTTGTCGATAAAATGACTTTCACAGTCAGGGGTTGTATCGTGTTGAGCAAAAGCAATCATGCGAATGAATGGCGTTCAATGAAGTCGTGTTGTGGTCGTAGTGCTGATAACGGACAAACAGCCGATAGTGGGATAGTAGAAAATGCTGGAAAGTAGAGAAAAGAGCAGCAAGTCGGACGGGAAGGACGCGCAGGAGTGTTCGAGAAGCTTTGCGATCCAGGAATGTAATGAACCAGCTTCCTTGATACCAAATAATTGCCAAAGACCATCTGACGTGCCCTTCGGCGCCATCTTCCATGTAGCACCGTCGTTCACGACCAAGTCAAGCGGTATCTCAAATCCACACCGAAGATGGCCTTTTGATCATCGATATGGGAAGTGTTTGTCGGAGTGATGAGGATTTAGTGAGAACGACAGCGATGTCCACTTTCCCAAACGATTGAGAGGATGCGAGGAAAATTCTTGGGTCCGCGTGACTTTGACGTGCGTGTGAGCTGGCCAAAAAACCATGATTGAAAAACACTCGCGAATGGCCCCAGGTTAACGCAGCGCCATTGCGTCCATAATATATCGGGAGACAGATCGGAATGGATGGCTGGGGGTGGATGGCACCCTTCCGTCGAACGTTGCGCAACACTTGTAACGGCCAGCAAAACGGTCGAGCATAAACGACCACAAACAGAACCAGTTAAGGAGAATGCTGGAATTGTCGGGGGTAACAGCTTCGCAGCATTGGGGGAAGACGTCTATGAGTTTCGACACGGTAGTCGAAATGGTTGTGAGCGTGTGGAAGGCCAAGCAAGTAGAGGGGCGCTCAGCGGGTAATTTTGCACGCTGTTGTCATGTACCGCCGAGGTAGGCAAAAGCCAAGTGGCGGCTAGAGGAGCGGGGAAGTAGAAGCAGTTTAAGGATTCGAGTTGTGTCTTCGCAGCCGAAGGGCAGGTTCAGCGACCGGGGAATGTAGAATGGATGAATGAGATGGTCGATCGCGAGCCTGCCAATGTCGGCAATTTGGGACATATATAACGTTTGAAGAGAGGGAAGTCGAGGGCCACAAGGTCTAGCCTGAGTAACAAGTGGGTTGATGATACTTAGTGGTCGGGCATTGGGGAGACATACCGATTAGCATCGACCAAAAAGACATCGCTCTTCTCCGCATCCTATTGTCCGAGGGCTGGGATAACTGAAGAGTCGCCTAAATCGCCTTCCTGAAATCTTTGGAATCGCGGTTTCCATTCCCGGGCCGTCTTGAAAGTCGCGCAGTCTTCAGTCACCTCTGCTGTCCAGAGGTACCTCGCTATGCGGTAGTGTTCAAATTGCCGAGGGATGGTGATTATGAGCCATCGATAGAGTTTTAGGCTGCGATAGCAAGCACTGAAATGGTGTCAAGCCCGGGCCCACCACCACCACAGGGAAGCGGTATGCAGGTGCGCGCACCAAGAGTGAATCTATACGTCAGGCCATCGAGACCTAACGGTTCCTGACACTTGCTTCGTCGGATTTGCATGCATTTCGGGAATGTAAAGGTGGTAGTTGACGAGACGGAAAGAGAGGAATGTCACACGTTACACTGAGGATGTATAGGGATGTATTGTGCTACAGCAGACTCAAACACCCACCACAACCTGCGTTTCTGCCTGTACGGCAGACTCAATTCGCAGTCCGATCTTGCATGAATTTGAAGTCAAGTCCGGCTCCGAAGAGGGTCGATATCCAGGGCTGTTTTCCCGGTTCCGAATTCAATCAAGTTTGCAAATGAATGTAGTCCGAAGTTCATTCGCTCTGAACCTGGAGTCGGCCTCTTTTACGAGCTTGAAATGAGCTTCACTATTACCCAGCCGAGTTTATACAGGTCGTCATAGTACATCCAGAAGTTATTGCTAAGCAATGATTCGGGCAACTTAGCTCTTAAGAGTTGACTCATCCACAGTCTCCTTCCTCTTCGTTTCTTCAATTCATTTTTGTGTTTATTGAATCCCTGTCCGTGTACTCGTTCGCAGATGCGTTGCATCGTCCGGGTAAATCGGGCCCCCTAAAAAGCTCAATCAAACGTCCACACAGAGTTCGTGCTACTCACTCAAGCCACCAACTTCCAGTTCGCGCAACGACAGTCCCGGCTGCACATTGTGGGGCGCGCGGTCGAGTTTAAACAGACGGAGCGCGTTTTCGCGGCCGATTGAAAGAAGGTCGGGGTTGGAGCTGGAAGGAATGAGCAATAGTATTATACTTGCAGCAGAGGAGCCGGAACACGGACATGGGCACGTTGTCGAACCATGTGCTGCCTTCCATGAGTCCGTCCTCATATGGATAGTCGATAGAGAACATGATTCTTGACGTGGATAACTCGGCTATGGCAGACAAGAGCGAGCGCGTGGAAAATGCACCACTAGCTGGAGCATTTCTCAGTCATTCGCCAGGTTTAGTAGAAAATCTCACTTGTTATATGCATATTGGTCGCAAAGTAGTCGCGTATCGTCTTGTCTTTCGCCATCCGCATCTCGGGGAAGCGGTCGCCTGAGCAATGAGCACAACTATGAATGGAGCCTGAGCGGATACTCACGATCCAGTTTATGGTCGAGTCTCCACAAGTCAAAGGGAATCTGGGCTTTCAGTGAAGACAACGTCGTCTACTCAATGCTTACATGTTCACCGAGATGCCCGAATACAAGCTGGACGCCGGGAAACCTGTCGAAGACCCCAGAAGTGGCGATTCCAAGGATGTGGATTGAGAGTTGGTTGGCGAAGCCCCAGGCAGATGCAACCAGCCAGCGGCGCTGTGCATAGAGTTGGGCATAGATGAGCGGTGAAGGAAGCCGCGGGTGCATGTAAACAGGAACAGAAAGTTGTTCGACGGTCGACCAGAATATCTGATTATGAATAAGCATTGTTGCAGTGAGGGGGAGGTTGCGAAAGTTACATCGTATGAGGGGTCGTCATAGAACAACATAGTCTAGGAACATATTAATGGATAGTTTCCCTGGGAGATGGGGTATTCACGTTACCGTCAGCACCGCTGCTTTGGAAGTCGTTGAGCATGACACCGACACAACCAAGTTCTACCACGGCGCGCGTTAGTTCTTCTGCCGCCTGCTTCGGGTCATGCATGGAAACGGCAGCGAAAGCAGCAAATCGAGTGGGGTTCGCTTTTACTTTCTCCCCGACGTAGCTGTACGTGAATTCATTGAGCTGCTGGGAATAATTCAAGTTAGACGCACTTGTTGCTTTCGACCGCCATCGCATGTGCAGCCTGCGGATCGGTTTCGCCCTGGCATCCAGGAGAAGTCAATGAGAGAATTTGAAGCTCAACTCCGGCCTGTACGACAACACTTCAGAGAGTTTCAAGCAAAAGACGATAGCCTGTACCTCGTCCATTTGTGCAATCCGACCATCGATGTCGGCGAGTGCTTTTCCCAGAAGGACCGCCGCATTGACTGAGGCATATTTCTTGGCCTCCTGTTCCGCCAGCCGGGGCAGATTGAACGCCTCCTCGAGGATTATCTTGCCCTTCATGGCCGTCGCGGAGGAGGCTTGAACGGATTAGCCGGCCCCTCAGCCGATCTGTCAATTTGGGTTATTTTCGCCCACGCCTGTCTGGTTGATCATTCCCGCAATGTGTCGGCCTCTCAAAAAGGCCGCTTAGGCGCACGCGAAGCGTTTTTTCGGACGTCCGTCATGGCGCTGGACATTGGAGAGAAGGAGAGTGTGTCGATGGAGTCCCAGACGACGGGCCAGCCCAAGCTGGACCGCCACGGACTGCCTCTCATACCTCAACCGTCTGACGACCCAGAAGATGTATGCAGTTATTCGCTTTTGCTTCCGCTCACTGATCTTCGCTAGCCCCTCAACTGGAGTCGCGCGCAAAAGTATACCATAGTGACCATCCTCTCGCTGGTGTCGTTCTTCGTGCGTGCTGTTTCTCACTCTTATTGGGTTGGCTGACCACAACTCCAGGGACTTTTTTCGCTCTCATGCATGAACCCGGCCTACGCGCAAGTCGCGCTCTCGTTGCATGTCTCTGTTGTAGAGGCATCGTATATAGGCGCGCCATAATCTCCTTTGACTGTCGCTTGAACTTGTTACTTATTTTTCTCATAGGAACGATTGGCATAGCTGCTGCTGGTATTGGGAGCTTCATATGGGCACCGCTCAGCAATGTCTATGGCCGGCGACCAATCCTGATAATCTCACAAGCCATCGCCATCGCCGCCTCTTTCGGTAGCGCTTACGCAAAGACATGGGGCACCATTGTGCTCGGGCGCTTCTTTGTCGGCCTGGGCGTGGCCTCCGGCAACGTCGTCTGCTTCGCGGTGGTCTCAGACTTGTTTTGTCTACACGAACGAGGGAAAATGCTGGGGATTGTCACGGTCGCATTAATAAACGGGGTGCGCATGCGTTCCCTCGTTCTTTTGCCGTCTCATACGCTGACATCCAATAAAGCCACACGTAGCTTCCTTGCCTGGGGGATTTATCGCCCAATTCGTCAGCTGGAGGTGGACACTCCTACTTCCCTCGATAACATCTACTATTTGCTGGATCCTTATAATAATCGGTCTGCCAGAGACGCTCTATGTCCGAAACGGCGACACGGACCCCATCCAATCTGTCGGAAAACTCCATCGCTACCGTATCACTGGTGCGGGAGGAACAGGCCCTACTCGAAAGCTGCGCTTAATTGACTTTGCGCGACCGTTTCAAATGTCTGTTCTTCATGTACTCTTGGTCTTGTTTTAACCTGTTCTTCCAGGCTGAAATACATCCCCATCGTCATACTTGGACTTTATGCTGCCGTTGCTTTCACCCTCGGAAGGTAACTTCAAGTATAACCATCCCTGTTTCGACCTTTCAAAGCTCTATAGTGTTATGCCAGCACAAACCGTTTCCGCACTCTTCCGCACCTTCTACCAGTGGCGCTCCGCAAGAACAGGAGTTGCTCTCAGCGTTAGCACCACTGTCGGCGGAGTCCTTGGTGAAGTCGTTTCTGGGCCGGTCATCGACAAGTTATTGGAGCGGTCGCGGAAGCGGGAGGGCCGCGTCCGTCCTGAAGCCAGATTGCATGGGATGTGGCCAGCCGTATTCTTACTGCCCGCGGGGTTGCTTATGTTTGGCTTCTGCATCGCAAACCACGAACTCAAGCACTCTTATGTTGGTGCAACGGTCGGGATGGCCATAACTTGTGAGTCGTGCTACCCATTCCGACTCTTTTACTCAGTTTACAAACCAGGTTTCTCCGTTCAGATGATAACGACCCCCATTATCGCCTGTAAGTGCCTATTCTGTTTCTATCTTCTCCCTCTCACTCGCTTAGACTGCGTCGATTGTTACAAGCCACAAGCTGCTGAAGTAGTCCAGCTGCTAAATTTTGCGCGACAAGGTTCTGGTCCCTTCTTTAATCTTGACGCCTCACTCAAGTGCCGCTAGAGATATCATTCACTGTCGGGTTCTGGTCTCTCCGCTTTGGTACGCGTCTTTCGTCTTCTTCTTGGCGATGTACTTATAGCTTACCACAGGCGACAAAGTGGGTTTCCAGTTCAGCGGCGTCACGTACGCCCTGGTGTCGCTATTGTTCTTCCTCCCAGTACTGTACCTGATGCGGTACGCGAATCTTTTTTCTCCTTCTCGCTGACTCACAGCTTGTTTAGTTATGGCGAAAGACTTCGGGCGCGGTTGGGCGAGCCGGGATTCAACAAGGGCTTGTAGGACTACCAGAACAATGTTCTTCCATGTCAAACTTTGGCTGCGAACGCTTTCCATTATATGTCAGTGCAAAAGCCAATAATTATATTAGTATTTTTATGTAAGGGTCTTTGGTGAAAAGGATGAGACCATCGACAATTGCGCCAAGGCTTGTTACTATAGAAGACACAGAGTCTGTCAGAAGGAAATATGGAATCATATCCATGGATCGTAAGTGAATCCTGGAATCTTTGAGAATGAGGAGGCGTCGGCCCGATATCCCGGTCGGGTGCACGTGGCGTGACCGCAGTGACGACGCGCCTTAGCTTTGACCACCATCTCGGATTTCGATGTCGACACCGCCCGACGAGAATGCGAATCTTGTCCGAACATTGACGAATGCGCTGAGAGTGGCCCATGACGAGATTGCCCGTTTGAAAGCCCAGGTCTGTCCTCTATGCCATAATTGTCTGACTGCTGGGCAGCGTTGGATGCTGGGTTTGTCTGGCGGAAGCTGATGCTGACTCGCTTGGCAGATTGCTGCACATACGGTAAGACGTGCTTTGCTGGATCGTGGCGGACGCTCAGCCTCAGGCAGACGGAGTTGGAGTTGGTGAAGGGTCGCGGTTCGACTAGCAGGATCGATGAAGCAAGCCAAACGCGTCGAGGCGCTGGATCTGTGAGTGTAATATGCACGTAACTCCACGCTAATTATGTCCCCTTCAGACCTTGCAACAGCAGATCGCACGATCAGGGGACCGAGAACGACACTTGCCAGCGGAGGTAGCGACGCAGGTGTGCAGGAAGTTTTGTAACGTGTACTATTGACAAGCTGATGGTGTGGTATCTAGCCCGCCTTTGACAAGGAGATGCAGGCCCTTCGAGAGGAGCGAGATACCGCGGTCAAGGACCGCCACATGCTGTTACAGGCGAGTCGTATCACCCAAGTCGGCTTCCAAATACCTAAATGCTCTCCATAAGACTTTGGCTGCGCATGAGCGGGAGATTTCAGACCTGCGCCAGGTAACCAGCGTCTCCACCAAAATGAAATCATACCAAATTCGGTCTTTGACCAGGTTATCGAAGGTCGGGAAAGCTATGTACGCGCGGAGCCGCTACCAGGGCAAGAAAAAGTGGTATATTTCCGTTTCGACAGATCGCATTAGAAAGCTTACCAGTGGTAGATCCCACTATCCAATACCATTTCGGAACTCCTCGCATCCAACTCAAATCCAACGCAGAGTGGATCGCCTGAAGCTTTTGAAACCAATTCTGCAACCAACGCAACCACATACCAATCCTGTACCCGTTGTTCGTTAACCCAGACCCCGAAATGGAGAAAGCATCCGCAGACAGGCGACCCATTGTGTAACGCCTGTGGTCTCTATGTCACCCGCATCACGAACTTCAAATACGATTTGGGACCAAATTCCGACCAAGACGATATCGTGGAAGGCGCTTCAGGGAGCGAATTCGATGGAGATGACGATGGGTCTAGTTATGGACCCGGGGCGGTTGTTCTCAGCTGCGCGCAATGCTTGGAGACAAAGACTGCGTTTTGGCATTGGCCACCTGGCGGAGGAAAGCCGCTATGTGGAACTTGTGCGCCACGAAAGACTTCAAGTTCCGCAAAACGCAAGGTTGATGAAGACGAAAGTAATGTAGCCCGCGCGAAAAAAACAAAGTCTCGCGGTGTGGACGACGACGCCGAATGGCAAGGCAGCACGAGTTTCAAATCGACTGCTTCTTCTTCTCCGAGCCGCACAGGCGGCTGTGCTCATTGTGGAACGACGAAAACGCCTCATTGGCGCCGATCATTGGCGGGTTTGCAGGTGTGCAACGCATGTGGGCTGCAGGATAGGAAGCGTGTAGCTTGAGAATGGTTTCTTGGCAATTCAATTTTGGAAGCGATGCCGTTATGGCGTTGCCATCTTCTCGTCTACTCCACGATGTGGCCTTGCCAGCGCGTAAATACCTTCGCGTTCGTGCAAAGCATCTCAGCCCCCTCTTCCCTCTTCGTTGTTGCTGCGAAATGCTTCTGGGCGGCGCCGTCCTTGTCAGTTGGGTCATGTTTGCCAACCTCGTTAACGGGCAAGACCAGGACCCGCCGAACTACGAGACCGAGGTGGAGAATGTCCTGGTGTGTCTGCTTCCTTCTTCTACTTTACGCCTTTCAACGATTGGACAGAGTCGTCTGCAAACACGTAACAACACTGATAATCAATGGACTCCAAACCCATATACCACGTTCCCAGTTGGGTGGTTCCTCGCCAGGGCACCAGGCCACTTGACGCGGCTAGGCTGGCGGCTCGGAGATATCACGGACAAAAATGGCTCTGCGTTTGTGGCCAACGTTAATACAAGCCTGCCGGAGCCGTACGAAGCTGTAGTCGTGCAGAACCCGAAGCAGCCGGAGAACGGGTTACCCATTTCTACCAGCTGGTACTCTACTGTTCATGCAACGTATCCGGCAAGCTCGGTCGACGAAATAGAAGAAGGGGAGCAGAAGCATGACCTTTTCGTGCGTCATAGATCTACTCTTTGCCTTTGCTCTTACTAACGCAATGTTAGGATGGCCCCTTTAGCGCTGTTCCGTGGTCAAATAAATTCTTCACCATTTTCTCCGACGGATGTGTTACTGCCTCGACACTGACAACCACGGTTACCGACGCCGCTGGTACAGTCACGATATGGCGCGACATGCTCCCAACACGCTTCGTACAAGTCCAGCACGATTTCCCTGCCAACGTTATCCTCCCCTTCAAGTTTGAGCAGACCACGGAGCCTTTTGTCGGTAGCATCAATGGGACTGTCAGGGACGCGCCGTTCAGGATCGCGCTGGGCACAGGGAATAATGGTGCGTGGTTTGTTGTTCTATGGGAAGTTGTTGCTGATCACCGCCCAGCCCCGTCGTTATATTCGTACTACCAGATCGGATCATCTTTCTGTGGGCAGCAAGATGACGATTAGTCTTCGACTTTCCTTATCTAGTTCCCGCATGCAATGTAATCGAGTTCTTCATATCCTTCTGTGGCGGAATTCCGGTGTGAATCACACGGGTTTCGGTCGGTGTTCGATGTCGATGGGCAATGAGGAAGACAGTATCGGGACCTATCTGGCTGCCCCCATGAGCGATGTTGCCTCCCACGCACCCCCGTGTGGGAAGAATGGGAGTTGTATAAAGTCCTTGAGTAGCGGACTATCTTGTTGTCCTGCAGGATGCCCACCATTATCGTGACAACCATCTTGCTCGTGGCAGTTACGGTCCTTATCTCCAAGTTTTTCCGTTTTATATCCAAGGAGTATGAACGACAGAAGGCTGTATGCCATATCCCGGGACCACCCGCCTCATCATGGCTATTTGGTACTGCATTATTACAATGATATGCACACAAAGAAATGCAATCTAACTTGATCTTCTACAGGCCACATCCTGCAGCTACAATCTCAGAGCTATGGTGTCTATGAGCATGCATGGCGCAAGACCTATGGTGGGCTGTACAGAATGAAAATTGGCTTTGGGGTATCTTTTCAAACATGGATACCAGGTCTCCAGGCTCATACAAATCCTTAGCGTGATAGACTTGTGGTCTCAGATATTGCAGCCCTCCAACATATCTATAACAGCAATGATTTTCAAGTGTCACCTGCCTATAATGCCTTTGAACAATGGCTTATAACTAAGCGTGGTATTCCCGCAGTGACTGATGGTATGGCCTGGGCTTCGTTTTAGGATTAATAATAATACTTGGCTAGCTGCCTCTCATTGCCAGCTACGTGCAGCATTTAATGCTGGGCTCACAACAACCGCTGTGCAGCAATACCAGCCAATATTCCAAAGAGTTGCAGAAAAGGTATATAATGCAGGTTTATAGAGCACATCACAATATTATTGATTTTATTTAATAGATATCTGAACAACTTGAAATAAATCTAGGCAATTGTGATCAAACAGTGGTTAATATGTACCCACTATTTGATCTTGCTAGTCTGGATGCTATTTGTCAAGGTTTGTGGCAGTTTAGTGGCATTGATACACTTGACATGGTCATACCTTAGCTGCATTTGGATGTACTATTGAAGACTTGAGTGAAGAAGTTGTTCAAGTGACCAGTGAAATTCTGTGAGATTTCAACTTTTTTTTTCAATATCTATATGACCAGCTGCTGAGTCATCTGATATAGTGAGCTAGCAACTGCTGCAACTCCATCACAGTTGATGATGAATGAGCTTATTGATATGGGCTTCCTGCCACAATGGTTTCTTGACTTGCTATTCAAATTTTCAAATGCCAAAACTTTCCAATTACTCCGCTTGCATCTAGACCTGGCACACCAACATGGTCAAGAAATTGTCCAGAGAAAGCTAGGACTTGGGGATAGTAGTGCCTCAGATATGTTTAGTATGGTGATCCAATCTAGCTCTCAAAGTAAAGTACCTTTATTATCTTAGTATCCACTAATTGATCTTCTATAGAAATCAAATCCAATCAAATACCTATGATCAGTACCGAGGATTTGATTGCCCAAATGGCAACTTTCCTAATTGGTGGGCAGGACACTGTTGTATGAATTTTTTCTACAGGAATTCTGATTATAAGTTAAATCTAATCATATTGTCTCTAGGCTAATAATCTTTCCTGGATGGTCATAGAGCTATCACGTTCTCCTACACTTCAGGATGAGCTCCGGAAAGAAGTTATCAGCCTATCTGCATCTGGAGCATCATATGAGCAAATGCCTCTTCTAAATGCTGTTATCAAGGTAATTGTAACAAAATTTTTACTAATTCTCTGATATATACATGATAGGAAACCTTACGTCTTTACCCCGGTGGACCTGTCTTATCCCGTATGACAGCAAGAGATACCGTTTTGCCACTATCAGACAGTATCAAAAGCACAGCTGGCCATGATATCAACTCTGTCCATATTCATCAAGGACAAATGATATTTGTATCAATTGAATCATATCAAAGGTTCGTATATCTATGAATGCAGATAATGCTTTATAGTTTTATCGCCATAGATCAGAAAGTCTATGGGGTTCAGATTCAGATGAATTTAATCCTTATAGGTGGATTGAAGATAGGGTTCCTAAAGGGACAGCACTTGGCCCTTATGCTAATTTGTAAGTGCCAATTATATAATATATAATATTTCATGATTATGATATATAGACTGGCATTTTCAAGTGGAGAACATAATTGTATTGGGTAAGTTAGGCTTTAAATGGCTCAGATAAACTAATTATTATTTTACAATGCTAGTTGGAGATTTGCGTGAGTTATCATTGTTCTGTCAAGTATTTGTATACTCAATAATTGTTAGTTTACTTGAGCTGCAGGTAGTCATATGTGAATTACTCCAGAAGTTCACATTCTCTGCACCGCCCAATGAGATTGTTAGGCAATGGCACGGGTAGGCCATACCCGCGCGGGTATGCGGGTTTTACCCGTGCGGGTACGGGTACGGGTCAGCGCCAGCCATACCCGTGGCTTGATGACTCAGCTGGTTCTCCCGATTGCTGATTATCCTTGATGTTCAAGAGGTCCTCGGTTCGATTCTTGCACTGCGCTGCCTTTTTATCCCGCCTTATCCGGCTTGTTGCTGACACCTCCTTCAGTGCATGTATGCAACCCGCGGGTAAACCCATACCCGCGGGTTGGTGGCTGTGCGGGTACGGGTACGGGTCTGCCCTCGGATACCCGTGGGTATACCCGTGCCATTCCCTAGAGATTGTCAGAGGAAAATTTGCAGTTGTACTCTCACCTGTTAATGATCAAGGCCAAAAAAGTGCAGTGGTGATAGTTAAAAAACTGTTTACAGAGTAGAATGTAGATATCGGGCCAAATTATCATGTGAAATAGTTTATTTATCAGACGTTATCAACAAGAAAATTGTATCTGCATTCATATTGAGTAAAATACTACAGTGAGAGTAGTGCTAGCCCTAAACAGTTATTTTTGAAGAAATATTGAATATATCTCAATACTATAATTGTAATATCAGCTCTACCTAAATCCTAAAGATGAATAAACATGCCTATAATTTAATACAATTTGAGTATAATATATCATCAAGCTTGTATATTTTATTACATTCACATACTAGTATTTAGGTTCAGAGTTCCTATACTGTAGCATTTTAAATCAATTCGGTGGTCACGTGTCGCCCCTTATAATGCCGAATTTCTTTTTGGTGGCCACACCCAACTGCCGAGATACCAAATTCACCCAGTACATCGGCCATTTTTGGCTAGCTAGGCCTGCAGGGGTGCGCCGTAATATACCGAAAATTTCGGCAGTCACCCCAGGAGTCCTCAGACGCTGAAAATTCCACAGCGCTGATGTTACACCCATTTTAGGTGCCAATATCAGCTAATATCTTTTACTTTGATTTGTAGTTCATTTTACCAGTAAGGTCATTTCACTTGATGGAAGATTATTTATTCTTCAGCTTTTATCAAGAAATATTGCTTAGTGCTGCAGCACGGCTGCTCCCTAGCTGAAGGTATTTTGAGAAAGTAAGCTAATAAAGCTAAACTCCAATAGCATCTTGACTAGCTTTGAAATTTGCATAATAGTTAAAACCCGGCAACCTCTCTAGAGGCCATAGCTGGCACATAAATATTAGGTTCAGGCTAATTTATAGGTATATTTAATAATATATGTGAATATATTCATATCATGTTCAATATCTGCGGCTGAGTATAAATATAATATACTACAAATATATGATCTTCCTCAATAGGTGAATATGATATGAGTATATTATATTCACATTTGGCCAGCACTAGCTGTGAGCAATTCAGATCACTTTAAATAATTTACTTGCAGGAGTATTTAGGACATATTGAGTGAGGCACTCGGAACTCCCACCATGGGGGAAAAGCCTTGTTATATTAAGTGTTGAGGATGGAAGGGGAGAAGAGGGCGCAGAGGAGCAGAGGGATGAAGAAGAGTATGGATTTATGTAGCTATTACATGTCCTTTTATATTGTAGCTATTTGTTCTAGATATTTCTGCAGAGGGGAAGAATAATCAGTAAGTCGAAACGGACAGGAGCTCGGGGAACACCGGAGCTCCGGGCTTGGTAAGCGCCGGCCGGTGATGAATCCCAACATTAAGCTCGGTCAAACCCCCAGCTTTTTCTCTTGCTTTTTCTAAGAACAAACAGATACTTGAGTAAGACCACTTCCCGAGGAGACTCGCTCTCCTAGAAAGGACTATCAGAACGACAACGCCAAGCCGGTCCCCGCGCAACTACCCCGAGCCCCGTCTCAATCGAGGACGTTTGCATTTTCCAAAATCCACCCCTTATCTCAGGCTGATTCTACATCGCGTTATCAGGATGCACGTGTCCCAAATTCTCGGTCAGCCTGCTGACGTGAGGCTTCTCTCCTTCCGTTTTACCACCAACACCAAATCGCTATACGCACCGACTGCGAGATCGAGTTTCTGGCGATGCCCGTCACAGTCGAGAGCTTCAGTCATAGAGTGGCCATAGTGGCAGCATACTGCCCGTCTTCGCGTTCTGCGCTTTGCTTGCTACGAGTGTCTTGCCAACGTCCACGCGTATCTGCGTATGCGCAGGTGTGAATGGCCAATGGCATAAACATAGCGGCCGCCGTGCCAGTGACCCGTCATCAGCATACAATCCGTCCGTCCGAACTGTGCTCTGCTCCGAGTCGCGAAGTCTTCCTGTGTCTACTACTGCTGCCTTTGCTCGCGACTTCGGATACTACTCGGGCCAACCCCGCAAGCTGCCTCCGGCCTCACGACGCTGAAGCACGCTGCCACTGCTCCACCTAAACGCGGAGCCCGCGACATGATTTCGGGACCTTCGGGTATCATCAAGTGCCAAGCAGTGCTGGTCGCATCCCTGGCGGTGAGCATTCACTGTCATGTCGGTGCATATAATCAACAGGACGTTCGTCCGTGCAGCCAGTTCCACCACCATGTACACCATGAATCGAAGGACGAGCCCTCTATTGTTCACAAGTACTCGTCCGCTGCTCTCTTGCTCGTATGCTCATATCTGACAGCGACGTCCCGAGCCGCCCGTCATACTTAGTTTTCGGGCCCACATACTTGTCGTTGTCATTCCGCCTGACAGATCGTCGTCCGCGCTGTGCATCGTTGTGGCGTTTTGTGCGCTCGGTCCCGTGCTATTTTGGGAGATTAATGAGGCGCTCCACTTGAGCTTGCGCGCTGCGTGTGCCACTGTGTGTGCCTGACCTGTGTGTTGCTGCTGTGTTGCCTGCGGTGATCGCGCACGCATGTTCAGGGCCGCGCAACACGTGGAACTCTGTGCCTTCGCTTGCCGCTCGCTTCGCGCAGGACGAGTGGCCACGGCCCACGGTCGTCGGTGGTGGCGGCGGAGATTCCGGATGCCACCAGCATGTGGTAACCAGCTCATATGCGGCTGGCAACCAGCACGATGCTGTCGCGAGCCTGGGCCCGAGGGGGAAGGCGGCCCCGAGGAGACGATGTGCATCTGGGCATATGGAGCGGGCGGAACGACCGTCGTGCTGACGCCGGTCGCCCCCAGGGTGGCGGGTTCAAAGCCTCCGGCGGCATCGAGGTGGAGCGTTTCCTTTCCACCTTTCAGTGGATGAATTGGGTGACAGAAGACCCCGTCGCGACCTGCAACAGGATCATGATTCACGGAAGCCGTCGTCGCGTCTGACTGATCAGTGATAGTGCTCGGACTTCCATGGGCGAGCCGACTTCGAGCAGACAATCATGCACGATGGATGGATGGATGCCAGAGGCTGATTTGTGCCCTGTCGTGTCGTCCTTCCTGGAAGTGTATTATGCAGGTGGGCGTCTACATATACGGTGTGATGGAGGGCTGACGCCCCGCTAGCCGCTTGTCTTCCCACCTCCGCTGCTGCAGGATGAGCGGGCTCTTCTCGACCACCTCCCCAACGGCATCCCGCGACCGCTCCACGCCATCGATCAGCTCGGGACATGGGTCGAGCATCCCGCGGCGGCCACGCTCCCCGCCGTCCATGTACGTCGCCTACGAATCGGGCAAGGCCAAGGCGCCGAAGCCGCTGATCAAGCTGGACAAGGCGAAGAAGGACAAGAGCAAGGGGACGGAGAAGGGGCCCGGCACGCCGATGAGTGCGAATCGCTCGCGCTCTTCGACGCTGTTCTCCCCGACGACGAGCATGATGGCGGTGCCGGCGGTGACGGCACGACCGTCGTCCAGCGGGAACGGGGGCAACGGCCAGAGCGAGAAGCAAGGGGGCTCGACGAGCAGACGGCCGTCGGTGGCTTCGCTGTTGAGCCTCCGGCGCAAGAATACCAACACCTCGACGAGATCGAACGAGCTTCCACTTCCGCCCCCGCCGCTTCCAGCGACTATGACGCCCTATTCCACCCCGCCGCTGAGCCGCAGCGCGACCATGGGCTCGTCAGTGTCCTCGCAGCTTCAGCCTGAGATCAGCACGAATACGAATAATTATCATCTTCCCCGCCCGCCACCGCCACCCCCGTCGATCCCTGACGCCATCTACCTCCAGCAGCCGCACGTGCATCCGGGCGACGACCTCAGCGGCAACGAAGACATCTTCGACGAGGGGCCGCGAACGAAGCGCAGCGACAAGGCCGCACGGATGCTGGGCGGCGGCGGGGACGCCTTTCCGCCGGACCAGAATGCCCAGTATGCGCACTACACCATCCCCGATGCCCCCTCCTTCTCCGCTCCCGGCCAGCCCGCCGGCGCCGCGCGGGCCGCGCCCGCGCACAGCGCCGTCCCGCGCCCACGCCGATGCCGGCCCGCGTCCCGACGCGTTCTACACCGCTGCGGACGGGTGGTACGCCGACGACGCCGGCCCGCGCCACGCCGTGTCCCGCGACTCGCGCGACTCGGCGCTCAGCCCGATCGCGTTCCGCCCGCCGTCGCTCGCGTTCGCGCCGCCCGGCGCGCAGACGGCGTACGCCCGGAACGCGCGGCTGTCGACGGACACGGCGCCCGTGTCGCGGGCCGGCCGGTACGCCGGCTCCGACAGCGACCGGGACCGGGACAGCGACGAGGGCGTCGACGTGACCGCGGACGACGAGCGCGACGTGCCGCCGCCGCCCCCCGCCGAAGGCGCTCCGCCCGCCGCGCGTCGACTCGCACGTGCACCATGCGTATGCGTATGCGCAGCACGCGCGGCGCGCGTCGCTGGCGTCCGCGGTCGTGTTCGGGGGCGCCGCGAGGCCGGACACGCCGTTCATGGACAGCGTGCTCGCCGGCGATGCCGCGCCGGGGTATGCATACGATGAGCGCGGCGCAGGTGGCCATACGCGTGAGCAGTCGGTGGTCCGGGCGGAGCGCGGCTGGCAGGGCGAGTGGAACCAGGGCGACATGCGCGAGGTCATACAGAAGCTGCGGACGCTGCGGTGAATTCGAATAGTGTTTGATGCTACCAGTTTGATCGTGTTTTGTTTGTAAGATACCTCTATATTGCTGCTCTGCCCAGTCTCTCTAGAGCGTCGGACCCTAATATTCACAGAACGGTTAAAACCTACTTAATAACTTCTTCTTGACGTTATAGTCAGATCAATGATCCAATTACTTAGTCCACCGGTCCTGGAATGTGGGCTTGAGGAAGCAGATAAAGCAGAGAATCTGCCTCGGGTTGCTGTGAGTTGCTTCCAAAATTGTTTCGCCTGCAAAGCCTGAAGGTTGGATGACCATTAGTAGTATTAATTTGTCAGGGGTCACAAAAGGTTTTTTTAAAAATATATTTTTTTAAAATATTTTTTAATTATTAAAACGCCGTATAACGCTTATATTTTTAATATTACTTTATATATTAGTTTTCGAAAAAGAAATAATCAGCCGTTATTTATAATAGCAGCCCTCTCGTTCGGGACGGCCCCCTTGTCCACAGCAGCCCCCCGCGGCCGGCTGCCTGCTGCGCGCCAGCAGCCTCGTCGCTCAAGAACGTCGACACGCTCCTGGGCATGGTCGAATGGCCCGAATCTTTTATCGTCCAGTTTTTTCGAGGGCCGGTCGCTGGTGAGGTTTGTTCCTTGTAGGTATACTTTGTCCCCCTCGACGTAGTTCAGGTCCGGGGTGCGTTTTCGGTCGTAGTACTTCTTCATCGTTTCCTGGGCTTCCCTTCAGAGCTTCGGCCGCGTCGGCCCGAGCTTCCTTCATTCGGTCGGCAAACACTGTTGCGGCCTCCGTTGGCACCGCCTGCGGGGCCTCAGACCCCTTTCTCGGGTGGAATCCTGGCGTCAGGAAGAAAGGCAAGAACCCCGTAGAGGAGTTAACTTTATCGTTGAACGCAAATTCCGCGAGGGAGAGCCAGTCGGACCAATCGCTCTGCTGGAAGTTGCAGAATGTCCGGAGGTACTGTTCTACCTCCATATTTGCGCGTTCTGTTTGCCCATCCGTCTGCGGGTGGTACGCCGATGAAGATCGGACCTTGATTCGAAATAATTTGCTCCAGTCGCTCATGAAATGCCCGGTGAATTGCTGGCCCTGGTCACTAATCACTTCTTCTGGGAACCCGTAGTCCTTCCAGACGTGATCGCGATATAACCGGGCGACCCCTTCCCCGGAGATGTTTCCCGTGCATGGGAGTACGCGGATCCCTTTGCCTAGCCTGTCGACGATCACGGGAATTGCGTTGTACCCGGAAGACTCGGGTAGTTGGACGATCAGATCAATTGATATGCGCTGCCATACCCGAGTCGGCACGCTATTCGGGACCAGAGCTCCTACGGGCCGTCTCGGGAATATCTTAGTTCGTTGGCACAACGGGCAGGCCCGCACATAGGCCTGGCAATCAGCCTGAATCGACGGCCACCAGTAGTTACGTGTTGTAAGCTCGAGGGTTCGATGCCAACCCGGGTGTCCCACGATAGGTATATTGTGGTGTTGTCGTAGCACCTGATGCCTCAGTCCCATGGCCGGGGGCACGTACACGAGTCCGTTCCGAGTCTTAAAGCTGTTGCGCTGTTCCTAGCCTTCCGGCTCCCCCTCTTCCCAAAGTTTGAGGATCTTCTCTTCTGTGGCTGATTCGGCCCGTCGAATCGAATCCATCAATCTGTTGCCCTCGGTATGCTCCAACGTCAGCATTGTGCGGATCGCGTGTTCTTTGAATAGTCCCGCCGGTAGTAGGACGATGTCCTGGTTGTCCTCTTTCCCGGTGTCATACCCGTTTCTTCGGGATAGTGCGTCGGCCCGACCGTTCGTTTTCCCCGGCTTATGTGGCAAGGAGAAATGATACTTGCTTAGCTCGAGCGACCATCGTGCTTGTCGCCGATTCAGCTTCTTGGCCGTCATGAAGTACTCCAGGTTCTTGTGATCCGTCCAAATTTCAAAAGGCTTTTCTCCTCCGTTTTGGAGATAGTGACGCCACTCGGTGAGGCATTTCTTTGTCGTGGATCTCGTAATTGCGCTCAGTGTCGTTCATGGCCCGAGAAAGGAATGCGATTGGTACCCATTTCCCCTCCTGTTCTTGTGAAAGGACGACCCCCAGTGGCGAAGTTGGAGGAGTCCGCTTCGACCCGCCACACCCGTGATCCGTAGGAAAGTGTAGAACCGGTGCGTCTGTGACCCGGTCTATCAGCGTTTGGAAGGCCTCTTCCTCCTCCGGTCCCCATTTCCATGGGCTGTCCTTTTGGGTCAGTCGGGTAAGTGGTGTGGCATATGCGCTGAAGTGCTTGATGAATCGCCGGTAGAAGTTGAGGAACCCTAGGAAACTTTGAACCTCCCGCAAGTTGCGGGGTCGGGGCCATTCACGCACACCTGCCACTTTTACCGGGTCCATACGGAGTTGTCCGTTTCCGACAATTACTCCGAGGTATTCGACTTCGTCCTGCTCAAAGTCGCACTTGTCCGGTTTCAGGTATAGCTGGTTGTCCTTCAGGATCCGTAGGACCTCCTTCACCGTTGCGCAATGTTCGGAGAGATCACTGGAGTACATGAGGATATCGTCCAGGTACACGATCACGCAACCCTGGGAAATCAGGTTGGAAAACAGTTCATTCATCATCGATTGGAACGTGGCCCGGGAGTTCGTGAGTCCAAAGAACATCACAAGCGGTTCGAACAGACCACGATTGGTGACGAACACGGCCTTTTCTTCATCACCCTCCGAGTCTTTTATTCGTATGTTGTTGTACCCCCAATGCACGTCGAGTTTGGTGAACCACCGGGCATTTCGTAGCTTGTGCATGATATCCGATATGAGTGGTATCGGGTATCGGTTTTTGATGGTGATCTTGTTTAACTTCCGATAGTCCTGTACGGGCTGTAGTTTCCTGTCTTTCTTCTTGACGAAGAAGAACGGGGATGCGTAGGGGGGATTTCGAGGGCCGAATTTGCCTGGTTGCCAAGTGTTCCTTGATAAACGAGTCGAGCTCTTTCTGCTCTTCTCCTGACAGGGGAATACAGCGCCCCTTAACAGGTTCGGCGTCTGGGTGCAGCTCGATGGCATGATCCCATTTCCTCCGTTCCGGGAGCTTGTCGAAGTCCTGTTTTTCGAAGACCTCCTTGAACTCCTTCAAGTAGTGCACTGGTATGCTCTCTTCCATTGTCTGGGGTTTTTCGGGCGGCGTAGGCGGTGGCGGCCAATTTGGTGGCCACACTCTGCATGGCCCGGATATGAGCGGGCACGTTCGGTCCCTCATCGTATATCCGGGTGACGAAGAGGCGATCCCCTTTGCCCAGGGGTTTGTTATCCTCTTCGTCCCACTGTTCCATCAGTCGGGCCCTTTTGCACTCGGGCGGGCATCGGGTGAAGGCAATTGGCCCTTCACGCCAGTCGATCACGGGGTTGTGCTTTTTGAGCCAGTGATGCCCGATGATCACGTCACTGTTCCTGGTGTCCGTGATGGCATGGAGTGATCCTGAATGGTGACCCGCAGGCGGGTGACATGGGTGATCGCCCCTGTCGGCATTGATCGTCCCGTCAGCATTGTATACCGGGACGGGATGTGGCAAGGCTTCGAGTTCCAGTTGGGAGTCCTCCGCGAATCGTTTATGCATGAACTCGGAGGTGGCTCCACTGTCAAGGAGAGCATCGACCGAGCATCCCCGAAGGTCGTTGACCCCTTGGAGGGTGACGGCCACCCAGGTGGCCATGGTGCCTTTGCTTTTACAAAAGGGAGGGGCATATTGTAACTGTTGCAGGGATTGGGCAACATCGGGGGCATACCCGGTCCATATGAATTCCTCCAGTTCGGGCCCGTTCTCTGCCCGTCCAGCTGGGTGGATCCACTGTTGTAGTTTCGAGCGGGCCTTTTCGGGCTGGTCTCGAATCTGAGCAACGAGCCTTTCGGCGCTGGCTGCGGGCCAGTTCTTCCAAGCGGGTCTTGGGGTATCTCGGCCGACCTTGTGCGGGCCTCTCTTGCAGGGGGAAATGGTGGTTTGGGGAATGTTTTGTTCGGAGTTGGTTTCTACGTCTGGTCCCACGTATCTCTGGATTGGCAACACAGAATATCAATTATGCAGGTTCTAACTAGAGACACTTGTGGTATACGTTGGCGAGGGCATAGGCTTCACTCACGACGATCGCCAAAATCAGCTTTATCCGCGTTATCTTTGATAAACTTCGAAAAGATAGCGCGTATCTGGTTGGCCAATGCGGCCCGGTTTGGGCACATTCGGCTGATGTGTCCTTCCTGGCCGCAGTTGTAGCAGCGAGTGCTGCGGGCTGTAACGGCTGCCTGGGCTCGGTCAATCTCCATGGGTGCGGGCCCCGTAGCGGGCCCGGTGGTCGCAGTTGTCCTGTTTCCTCGGAGTGCGGCCACAGTCGGTCCGGTAGCGCCAATCACCGCATTTCGGGCCCACCCATTGAATGGGTTGCGGTTGCTGAACCCGCTCTTTGCGGGGGCAGGTGCTGTCGGGGGCGTTTTGGCCCGCGGGGTGGTTGATCTTGTGACTCTCGTCGAAGATACGGTAGCGGCGAAGCGCGCCGTCTTACTTGATGGCCTCTGCCTTCCAGGCCTCGTAGGTGTCGGGGAGTGTGTCCTTTTGGTAGACCGCGTAAGTAACGGCCCAAAGCATGCCGTTCATGGCTTGGGAAACGTTCTCCTTCCACGTGACCGCGTTTCCTCCTTTGATGTAGGAGAGTGCGTATGAGATTTTCCGTACCTCGTCGTTATAAACGTTCGCGTTGGCTTCGAAGGCTAACTAACAATCTGCCAGGAAGGCCTCTACTTCGCTGGTGTCGCCCGTGAACTCCTTAGGGGGCGAGACGGTTACTTGCGTATTCCCTCCGTGGGGCCGATGGGCCAAGTCTTCTCTGGCTTGGCGGAGCAGATCGTAGCTCTGCATAACCCCTTGATGTACAGCTGTGTATTCCCCGTTTACTCGGGACAGCTCGGCTTCGATAGCCACTTGTCGATTTGCCAGGGCGGTGTTTTCCGCCCTAAGTTGCTCCATCTCCTGGTTTGTTCGGAACAGATGGGCGAACAGGAACTCCTGTTGTTCGTTATGGCCCAAGGCCATGAATCGGGCACACTCATCCCCCTGGCCCCCCGTGGCCCGGCGGCCTGACCCAAACCGTGACAAAACCTAAGTTTAAAAAATCCAGGTCTTTCTTCACGATAAATGACCAGATACTAGTATTGTACTATTTTGTTCAATTCGGCCGGATCACCGCTTTTTTGATAGAGTCCAAAGCCGCCGAAAAGCCTGAAAAATCAAGAAAACATCACTCCCGGTGTTTCCGAACATCAGGTGTGACCGTGACATGCTGAATTGACTGAAATAGTACAGTATCTCCTATATTTGTCTCCACACTCTTCTTGTGTCCTAATAAATCTCAGCTTAAACTCATATACAAATGTGACATATATCTGACAGTGTTACTCCAGGATTTCCTTTGGGATATCTATTTTGGTCTTTAACCATTCATAGGGTCTGGTTTGGAAATTTTTACTCAGTTAGCAAACCTATTTAATAAAAGGCTCTTCAGACACCTGTTTTTAAACTGTTTTTTTAAAGTTTACCTTGGCCAAGATTACCAAAATGAAACAATTTTGCCATTTTGGGACAGGTTTTTAACCAAATTGTGTGCTTAGTAAAACTGAGATTTGTATCAAGTACCATAAACAAGTTCAATCTAAGGCCATTGATGATACTGTTCTTGGTTAATCCACAATATTATGAATAAGTGAGATATCACTGTGAATATCCAGAACATCGCTGTATAGGGCATGCAGACTTTGTGCAGACCTTGAGATTTGATAGCCTTAGAAATTCACACACACGGTGACACATATAGTTTTCCACAAAAAAAAGCAACATTTGAACTTGAAGCTGGGGCATACTTATAGTTGGAGTAAGTATATCCATTACACTTTCTGTATCTCTACAGCCATACTGTATCAGGCTCAAATATTTTACATGTAGAAACCCCCCCCATGGCCTGATCCGAATCTTGAACGTTATCACTGAACTGCTCGATATTATTCTCCAGGAATCACCAACTCCTTCGGCGCCGGTGCGACGCCCAGCCCGCCCCAGCCCCAACGTGCCGCTGCTCGCCTCCCCCGCGGGCCCTCCCTCCTTCCTGCTGGCACCGCGGTCAGCGGGACAATCCTCGGCGTGCTCGGGGCCGCCTGGGCCGCGCTGCTCCTGCCCTGCATGTGCATCTACCGCGCGCTCCTGGGCCGCGCGGCGCACTTGTAGGGTACCGGTCCCAATGGTGTAGGCGGTGATGGCGGGAGTCAAGAGACAGCTGGCGCTGATACGCCATCCAAATCAGGAATATCAGCCATCTAATCTGATTGATGGGGCGGTCCGGTGCCTCCGGGGTTCGGCGTTCGAACGCGTTCGGACCAGGTTCAAGCAAAACCACCACCGGCCGAACACTGAACTGAACTTCAGGTTCAGGTTCAGCCTTGCGCTGAACTTTGAACCTGAACGCGCGTTCAGTTCGGTCCGGTTCAGGTTCGAACCGGAAGGCCGAACCGGACGCCGCCATCGCTATCCAGGATACTAGTAGGTTGTGTCTGACCACTTTCAAACCATCCAAAAGTCCTTCATTTTAGTGTTGGAAGTAACATTTCTGTATTACAAAAATACCAAGAAACAAGAAATATAGAAGTAGCATTTCAGTATGCTTCAAGTCCAATCTCACGCTCAAACGTCTCCCAAAGGCCCTCCGCTTCCAATACTTTATTAACCACATGCGCCGACGGTTCAGGGATCCCGTCACTTGCCGCTGCAACAATGTGGGCCAACTGAGCCAGCGCGCCGGGCTTGGAGCCGGAGGGCGTTTTGAACGGCATCATTGCACCAACGGAGGCCGGGCCGAGCACAAGAAAGTGCATCTCCATGCGGCCCGCCGCGCGGCGAACGCGTCCCGTCTGCCAGTTCTCGATCGGGCCGTCCGGAGTAGTGGATATTGCTTCAGCCTGTGTTGGCCCGACGACGGTGAAAGCAGTGCCGCGAAGGAGGAACTGCGCGTCGTCGCCGCGGTAGTCCTTCTGATGCGCCAGGATCTGCTGTGCCGCTAGCCGGCGCCGGTGAGCATCGTAGGCCGTACGCATTAAGGCGCGCTGGAAGGCGAGGTCGCGCGGGCCGAGGTCTGATCCTGGGCTGCAGGTCAGGCATGGCCGTGACCCGGCAAGGAAAGGAAATCTGGACATACTGTTGCGCTGGTCGCGTGCCTCGGCACATTCTGTGCGGTGACCATCAGCCCAGTCTGTCGCCTGGCAGGCAGTAGAGCAGTAGAGCATTGCGAGACACCCCCCGCAGCGCTTGAATCGCTCCTTAAAAGCTACATGGCAGCACTGTGGCTGAATCAAAATTCTGTGCATGAATGTCGGGGAGAGAGACCTTAGCATTGTCACACCCTCTGAGCTGTAAATTGGGCACTTCCTTCGCTCTGTATTTCTGTAATAGCTCAAATCGCTGGTCCACAAGTGACACAAGATCACGCCACAAGGCAAGATGCTCTGACGTTAGATGATCCTCCACGGAGTGCTGATCAAAATCCATGCCTCCATGGACTGAGCGGTGGAGTGCCGGGAGAACAGATGCGTAAGCAGAGGAAACGGGGAGAATTTCTTGCAAGAAAATTGACATATTCTCGTCGATTTCAGCCCGCGCCGTCTGCGTTGTCCTTCGAATCCGCAAGTCGCCGGAAGACACGACCGGCTGAGACGACCGCAGTGAGCAGCCCTCTGTGGAGCGCCTGCCGCACGACACGCGGGTCACATGTTTCTCGAATGACACTAGTGAGGAGCGCGAACAGGCCGTTGGAGATCGTGATGTCGAGGCGAAATATACCATTGGCGCGTATTGTAACAGCGACGAGTGTGGGGAGGATGTCGGGGGCTGCGAGTAAGGCCGCGCGGAGGTGCGGGTTACAGTACTCAGACTGGTCGGTCGCACCAAAGATGAGTAGAGTCGCGGGGGTGTATAGCGACATCATATCCGGCATGTGTGGAGAAGGCATGGCCTCGCACGTGTTCCTCCACTGCGCCACAGCAGCAGCGACGAAGTTCCTAGGGCCTCCAACGCCGCGGATAAGCTCGGTCAGCCACTCTGGTCCCGCCTGCTGTATGCTGAACAGCGTGGTGGCCGAGAAACTTGGGATGCCGTGCTGATCGGGGGCGTGGGCCAACGCTTTCCAGGCGCGCCCCATGAACTGGAAAAACCCGGGAGTCCGATGCATCATATGTTGAAGGTCTGTCTGCCGCGTTATGTCGAGCAGCTGAAACAGAAGCTCTACCGCGGCGGCGTAGAAGGAGACGGCGGAGGAGTGGATACACAGTGAAGATGGGAGGGGGAGGTGTGGGTGGGCGATGTCGAGGAACTGTAGCCATGGCCAGATATTCCCCCAAAGCTGCAGGACCGCGGCAAGCGGAATAGGATTGTGAATGCTAAGAATGGACTCAAAGGCTCGCAACGAGACAAGTGTACGAGTGTACACTGATTCCAGCTCATCCACAGGCAACGCGTCGAGTGTTTCTAGAGAGGGTATGCGACTTGGCTCTAGTGCGCTGTAGAACACGAATGCAAGCAGAATCTTGACACTGTCTTGCACCTTGTCGTTCGCTATTGCCTCAGCGAGAAAGACCAGTTGCTGTGTAGAGCCCTGAAGGGCATCCAATGCTTTTTCCTGAATCATTTCACTGGTTAGATATTGGCAAAAAAGTAGTTGACGAACACGCAGATTGACGGGTAGCTTGCGCAGGGTCACCGGTGCGAAGTTGGGGTGGATGGACATGGTGGTTTGGAGAAAGTGTGCCAATCGCGGCGTCACAATCAGTGACACAGTGACGCCGCGCCACGGGTGATCATGATCTGACCTGGGGCTCAAATGGGCGTTTAGTTTCCTTTTGTCAGACTAGAAAAGGTTCGAAGAAATATTCGGTACTAGTAGATACCCCATTAACATGCTCCATGAAATTGTGCTTTTGTCTGTGGAGGAATGTCCGAATGACAGCCTGAGTGGCAGCGGTGCATAAGCAGCATAATGTTAACTCAGCTGTACTTTTGAAGTATATGGTCTCCGGAACCCATGGTATCTGTTCTTGCACAATCAAAGGTCCACCGGAGATTATATTCTAATTCGATTCTTTTTGACATTGAATTCACTTCAAGTTTTTGTAGTATGCCTTACAGTACATATGTGGGCACTTCTAGAATACTAGATCCGTTGTAATATCACCCGAAAAAAAGATACATGCAGTCTCAGTACCACGTAGAGCTGCGCAGCAGATAAGGTCTGCCCAGCGGTAAAAAGCCGGGCAGTGGAGCGTGCGAATAGTAGGTCACGTTGGGGGACAGTGGTGCGGTTTGGACAGGGTGAGGAAGAGCATAAGGGGAATATTGCAGGTGGCTATCGTGATGGGAATATGCTCGGATAGGCGTCTGTCGCTCGACCGTTCTGCCACGCTCCCATGGACTTGACACGGGCGTGGCGCCTGCGGCGTAGACACCAGCGAAGGACGTGTATGACGGGTAGGGAGCCTGAGGGGGGATCCGAGGCACGGTTGAGAGAGCAACACCTTGAGGACGCGCTGCCATTGGTGCTCTCAACCGAGTTGTGTAAGTTGGGCCAGGCCTAGGCAGTGGCGAGTGGTACTCTCTGCTATAGAGCGAGGGACTTGGCGACAAGCCGTAGACCCGGATCGAGGATGGCGGGAGGGCAATAACTGGAGTAACGCCAGCACTCCCTAGCGGCCTGTGCTGCTCGTCTGACATGAAGTCCGAGTCATCGGCGCTGTCGTAGTCGGAAGAGCCAAGATACCGTACATCGTCGTCAATATCCATAAGTGGGCCGAGCCACGGAGATCGTGAAGAGCTTGAATGTGATGCTTTTCCTTTCCGCTTGGATTTCGTTTTAGAGCGCGATAACTGCCCGCGAGAGGAATACTTGAATCTTGGTAGACGTTTTTCGAGCCTGTGAATATGCAGCGCATGAGAAGGTCTTTCTAAATTCTATCCGCGAATATAGCTCACCCATGCCAAGAGTCTCTGCGACTCATTTGGCTCTTCTTCTGTACATCGTCCAGCACGATCCGGGACCTTTCGCGGGCCCCGGACCCTGACTGATTTGCGCGTAATGTCGAAACGGCAGGCGGTAAGGTCGACAGGGAGCGAATTGCATTCAAGTTGGCGCGATGGGTGGAAGAGCGAGGATAGAGGTATTGCTTGGTCAACAGCGGGTCTGTGAGTGCGGCAGCAGACGGGAGCGGAAGCATGGGCGAGAAGTGTACGGCGGGCTCTCTTGCGCGCATTGGGGGCGGATAGACAAGGGACTCAAGACGGCGGATATATATCATTTCAGCCGCCTGAAAGCATGGCATCGCCGCCTTCGCTCCAGAATGGAGTAAGCGAATGGAAGAGGGTCGGTGTCAGCTGTGAAAGACCAGGAAACGAAGAGTGTCGGCTAGGTTTGGCGCGGCCACTGCTGACCGCACTGAAAATCCTGTAGCGGCGTCGTTAGCACAACCCTGAAACAAGCGACAGAAAGGAAGAAGAGGAAATGCAAGGTTAAGAGAGATGAAAACCACGCTGAATCTGCATGTCAGGTCCTTCACAGCCCAGCAAAGAAAAGAAGGAAGCATTCCCTTGTGCGTAATATTAACGACCGTGTCTGGGACGTGCTTTGGCCCAAAGAAGGCAGGAAATCGAGGCGCACTGTAATTTCCGCATTGCACACTGCACACGTTGTACTTCATGCCAAAGAGCGAAATCATGCGACGGTAAATAAGGCGTCGAAAGGCAGACTAAAGAGCTGTCTCGCAGGACGAAAGAGGACGAATGTGCAAACGTTGGCATCGAAAAGTGAGAGCCGGGTCACATCGTAACATGCTTCTTGCCATTCTTCCTCTTCTCCACCACACGACAGTCACCCTTCTCCGAGTCGCAACGACCTATCCCATCCCCGACACAACTGCTAGCGCACGCGGGAAGCGGGGTCAACTCCTCCCCTGACAAAAGCAAGTAAACCGAGGCATTTTCCCGTTACCACTGACCGACCTTGGTCTAGGCGATGCCCCAGTCTTATGGTTGCTTAAAGCTGCGTAGAGAGTAACATAGGGAAGCGCCAGAGGATTCTGGAGGGTTCAAATGCTCGGGTGCGTTTGCTGGCTCCCTGCTTCCTCTTCCTGGGCCACGTTGCTGACGCTCTCTGGTCCCTTCCGTCGTGGTTGACGTTATGCGCAAGTAACCCTGGACAACACTTTGGACACGAGTGAAGGACGAAATGTGATTTTGGACGGAAGACGAGCATGTCCTTCGAGGCATAGGTATGTCACGTTTCAATCGGCTTCTTCATATTTTTTGCTTACTTGTCCTCGCACAGGACCGCGCGAGGTCACCTTACGCGTTGGACTTTTGGTCCAGAGCGAGGGGTAGCAGCTATCGTGACTGCATAAGGACAATAATGAGCCGTGGTCGACCCAAAGGCCGAACGCAAGCGGTTTCGCTGATACATTCGCCCGCTTGTAGCAAGGATTACGGTTCCTCTCAGTGATTTCTACGACGGCAACGACGGTGTGTGCGGCAAATCTTTGATAATGTCTCCACTCGCTGAGCTCTTTATCCCAGTCGTAGCTTTGCCATTGCTCTCCTTGCTTTGGCTTTCCATATCGAGGTCACCATGGCAAAAGCGTTGCTATCGTTGTGACCATTCCCCCACCAACATCTCTGCCCCATTCACCGAAGTCTATCTTGACCTCCACAACCACGTAACGACTCCGTGGCTCACGCTCGACCTGTTTCTCGATCGCTGCAATGGGATTTCAAGTTTTCGCCTTCGTTTCGCTTCCAGAGCACATTTCTCAAGTCCCTCCGTTGCGCTGCGATAGCAAATCGACACAAACGACACGAATATAGGCATATAGCACATACGCGCCGTTGTACATCGAACTTTCCTCCGCCTTGGCCATCCCGAACCAACTTCCAAATAATGTGGTGCCTGTTCCAATGCCTCTCGTCCTATCCACCTTTTTCCCCCCAGTCGAAGGTGTGTCACGCGTGACCGTGACACATTTTCAAAGTGAATCCGACAACTCTTCATCCCCGCCCTCTGTCCTTCCGACAACTGTACCTCGACCTGCCAACTCATTCATACTCTCCATCCAAAAAATTTCTCGTCGAATTACGAACTTGAAGGCAGTTGTCGAACGCCTTTTCATATGGCGCTTGACTTCGTCGTGGGGAATGTGCAGAAACTTGCAAACTGCCAATTTTGCTCGTTGGTGTGGTGGGGTGTTAGGAAACGGGGACAGGGCAGGGCTATGATGTCATTTGAGCAGCGTATGCTGTCCTAGCACCATTGCAACGCAATTCACAGTGCGAATATTGGATCTCTTGAAGATTTTGTCTTATCTACTTCTCCATTCGTACCTTTTATTCTCGCTGCATATTTTAGCCGTTTCGGCCTTCTTACTACAACAACTCCTTCGTATACAGGTTGCGTATAGATTCAGTTACATTTTGTCTCTGTGAGCTGTTTGCTGCTGTATACACGCTCTCCGTCGTTTCACCCATTCCGCTACAACGAACAGCCCAAGTCCGATGAAGATCGTGACCTATGGAGGGAGATAGTCAGTGTCTTAGTCCCCGCCAAAGAAAAACGCAATGCTAGTCTTACCCCGCTGAAAACAATCGGCCACGTCCACGTATACTCGGGCGGATTCAGCAGCGCGCCGGAGATGGGGCTTCCGGTTAAGATGCCGAGCGCACTTGTGAGACCCATGAGGCCGATGCGGGTCCTGACACAGTCCGTCAGCCAACTTGCGAGAGAGAGGCCGGATGTGTAAGCTCACCCTACTTCCGATACCGAGCGGGAGAACGAGGCGGCGGCAGGGATGGACAGTGATATGAATGCGCCGCTGATCCAGCCGTAGAGTATCGCAAAAGCAAGAAGACCACTATTAGATTTCGCCCCGAGGAAGGCAAAGGCCAGGCCGCCTGCAATTGATACGACCGGGAAGAGGACTAGCACAAGGATTTGAGTATTGTGTCGAATCGTCGAGCATGCTTACGGTTGTACGGTCCCCATCTGTCGGAGAGAAACATAGGCATAATCCGGCCAAGCACACCAAAGGCATTCAGGATCGCGACCTGACAAGAACTGTGAATATGCCGGTAACCGAATGATATTTCGACTTACAACACTGGTTTGAAGGACATGGAAGGCATGGTGCTTGACGGCAAATAGCTGTATATAGAAAACTACGGCGCGACAGTCAGCACAAGATGAATCATCGCAAGCGGACATTGCTTACTTGGAATAAACAGTCCCCAATAGGTAAATGCGATTCTACGGCAAATTAGATGAGGATTCAGGGACAGGAAGGTGGCTTACCCGGCACAGCAGATCCAAAAAGGCACATCCACAAGGATGGCTTTCACGTCCGCCTCTTGCGGCCGCGGCTTTAGTCGCGTCCGCATAAGGAGATTTGCCATGATCAAGAGTGCGAGGTCCAGAAATGCTACCGTCCGCACAGCCCAGCCAAACCCCCATCGAGGAAAGGTGTGGTTGAGAATGAGAGGGTACACGACTGCGCCAATTGGCGCGCCGGAGAGGATGATTCCGACAGCAAGGCCGCGGCGGCGTTTGAAGTAGTGGGCGGCGATGGATATGCAGGGGAGGAACAGGATTCCTGTGAAACTTGTGAGTGGCGGAGACGCGAATGACGGTAATACTTGACGCACCCATTCCAAGCCCCATTCCGATACCCTGCGCGAGAAAGTTTTGGTAATAGTGGTGTGGTTTGGCGAGGGAGAGCAAGAGGTACGAGACGACATAAACAATACTGCCGCCCACCATCATGTGGCGGAAGTATCCATGGTCAAACAACTGGCGCATGAAGACTTTTGAGGAGACTAGATCTCATAAACAAAACAGTAGACTCACCCGTCCGCTGACGAACGACAGCGCAAACAAGAGGAAAGCCTGAACCGAGCCTATCCACGAGATATCAGACGGCGGGTGGTCGCTGAGGTAAATTCGCGTGTAATAGTCCTGGTACACCGCAAAAGACTGTATCGTTCCTGTTGCAGCCAAAGGTCAAGTCTGGCCCCAGTCCGAGTCCCTTGTGAAAGCGCACCGAACGTGCAGAATGTGCCCATCATCCTGGAGAGTTTTCAGTCTCCGAGGTATTCAACCGCAAACCACATACGCGCCGGCCACGGTGAGCCACGCCGCCGCGTCCGCCCTCCCGGAAAGGTGATTTCGGGCGGCTTATCGGGCTCCTGCGGAGGTAGTGTTGGGGACATCTCTTTTTTGATTGGGTCATTCACTTCATCCTCCTCCGGATGGATGGATGGGGCCATGAGTCGGGATCGTAAAGTAGGTGTGCGAGCTGGACATGATAAAAAAGAAGGTCCGTGTGACGTGATAGTCACATTTTCTCATGCTTGATCAATCTTCCCACGTTGCTTCCCTTTAGACGCCACGTCCATGACGGTGTTGATATTGACACCAACCGGGCCTTCTCTCTATAGCCTATAGGGATCATCGGTCGGGGCTTCTCCATCCATCCAGGAAGAACGATGGCCCGTGGGGCTCAATTGCGGGCCTCTTTCTTGAGGCCGGGCTGCTTGTGCTGGAAGTAGCCGGCGGATGCAGCGACGAGGAAACCTGATGGGCTCCCGTGGTAAGCAACTAGCTCGCGGGTTTCAGTTGCCACGCACGGTATTCAGCTCGCGCGGCGTGACCAAGTCTACTCTCATATTTAATATTAACTCACGCACGCATAGTTCTGCCCTCCCAATATTTTTCGATCCAAGCATGTCCATGCACCGCGAGTTGGGCAAGAGCAAGCTTTTCCGGGACGCGCTATACGATTTCACGCTTCCAAGTCCCGAACGGCATCAAATCACCTTCAACCGTGCTGAAGCCATCGCCCGTTCTTCCAGTACGTTTGTCGTCTGGTGGGGATAAACCAAATACTCATATAGTAACCACAGACTACACGTTGAAGGACGTCTACGAGATATCGGAGCATTTCTGGCTCGGCGCCATCGACCCATTGGTGGTTATAGACGTCGCAGCATACTCGACAACGCTTATCCAGTTTAACCTCGCCACTGGAACGCTATCTGCGTGGGCACATCGCCCGGAAATAGCAGAGCTGTGTCGTCAGCTTCTCAACTGGGAAGTCTCGTCAGTCCTTCTCAACACTTCTCTAACGCATTCTGACCTTGTTTCCAAAAGTGGCCATTTCCTGCTCACGGAGGTCGCGCATGGACTTGACACGCAGAACATCGAAACCACAGCGACACAGCTTCCCGATGGTGGCTTCGACCTCCACACTCCACATCCTGGGGCCGCTAAGTAGGTTATCGGAGATTGCCGAACTTTCCATTTTTATCGCTTGCCAGGTTTATGCCTTGTACGACGCCTGTTGGTGGGATTCCCCGTGTGGCGGTCGTAATGGCGCGTCTGATTGCCAACGGCAAATTCCATGGTGTCCGGCCCTTCTTCGTCCCCCTCAACGATGGGAAAGGGACGATGAACCAGGGCATAACGAGTCGGTGCGGTATCCATTCTCGTGTGTATAACACCTGCTTATGTTGTTAGAGGCCTGCCTGATCGAGCGGGGACGCGTCCCATGGGAAACGGAATCACCACATTCACCCACGTCCACCTTCCGGCCACTGCCTTTTTGGGCGACTGGGAAACTACGCTGCCTCCGCGAATCCACCTTCTCGCGAGCATCTGGCGACTCGGGATCGGCACGACAACCTTGGCAGGCCTCGCCATTCCCGCGCTTCGTGTTGCGGCGCATGTCACTGCTGACTTCGCCCGCCAGCGCCAAGTGACAGACTCCGGGGGGAAGACGGTGCCAATACTGTCATTTAGAACGACAGGGACACCGATCGTGAAGGCTCTTGGCCAAGCCGCCGTCCTGGAAGCGTTTTATCGAGAGCTGCGACCGTATTATGCGGCGGACCCGAAAACTGGAAAGCACACGCTGACAGTCGACGCCATCAATATGCGCAACTTCGCTCTCGACGGTGTTCAAAACATTGGCAGTCCACCACTGGCGGGAAACAAGCATTGTCTTGACGGATCGTCTCGGCGCGCGAGGCCTCCTTCTCGAAAATCAATTGATGTCTCTTGAGGTAAGTATGCTTCTGGCACTGATGTCGTTTATCTCATACCGTTCCAGGCAGAGCTTCGGGGGATGGCGATTGCTGAAGGAGATGTCCTCGTACTATGCATTCGTCAGTCACATTCCGGTTTGGCTTGGATGTACCCCTGATGGCCTCCAGGACTTGCAACGGAATATCTTTTGGGTCGATATGCCCTCCCGCCGCCCCGGTATCCCGACAGCCCGCTGGCAAAACACGAGAAGGGAATCTACGATGAGATGCGCGACATCCTCGTCGCTCTCGGCAGCGACCACCGCTCGGCCGCGTTCAACAGCGCGCTCCTCCCACGCAGTGTGCCCCTCGTACTCGCGATTGGACAGCGCATGGCCTACGAGGCGGCTCTGGACGCTGGTGTCGACTCTGCTTTCGTCCGGCTCTATGTCTCCTCCGGCGTCCTGCAGGACCTTGCGTGGTACACCGAGAGTGGTCTGACCACACGCGTTGAGGCGATAAAAGCAGAAGAAAGCGCTATTACGGAGGCGCTCGACATAATGGAGGAGACGCTGGACAAGAATGGGTGTGCGCCGCTGCTGCATGCCCCGATATTGTCGCAGAGTGCTTGGACGGAGTGGGTTGACACGTTGCCCTTGCATCGATCGAAACTATAGTAGACCATCAGTATCACCAGCACTATATAGTAGACGTGGTACTCGCTTGCCAGTGCTGGCAGTAAAGATCTTTCTTCAAGTTGAAATAACGTCGGGATCCGAAGATGGGGCGGCGGGGTCAAAAACATTTTCAGTGAAGCGACGTAGGACAGCATCCCGAACGGTTGAGTTGGTGAACGCAGTGGAGAGAATGTATGCGACTTACGGGATCTGTACAGCGGGTGCTCTTGTTAATAACTGTTGCCGGGGCTGCGGGTGGACCAGGGGTGGACCCACCCGTGCCCTTTTCCGGTACAGGCGTCGCCCACAAGAAGGATCTGGAGCAGATAAGTCACAAGAGATAAGACCTCGCACGAAACACACACCTTGATATTCTGTCTTTTTGGCTCTTGGGAGGACATGACTCGGACGGAGAGTGAGATGCGGGGAAGCAGAAAGGAGGCGGGGATGTGACTGCTAGTGACGCCGATTGGTCAGAGTATTGCGAAACGACCCGAGATTGCATTTGAAAGCCCAAGTATGTGAGAACCGATTCATGCGGACACAGCGAGAAGATCTAGCAACGCTCGACCAAGTTAGGCTACCACTGTAACTTGACTCGGAAGAGCTTGAGGCGGTCGTTGCTGCGGCAGGTCGACAGTCGCCCAGCGAAGATGAGGTATTTTATGCTGGGGGTGGGTTCAGATCGATGAATGCTGGGTGCCCGCGCACGAGGGACAGTGGCAATCGCGAACAACCATCGCCTGGCCGAAAAAGGAAATCGTCATCATGTCCTTTTCCTCCGTGCGACCTCCATGTCCGCCGTCTACTTTACCAGCATGCGGCACACAGGCCGCTGTTCTTCGTCACATCCCTCGTAGACACTCCGTATGAACGGGCGTGTACAGAGCTCGGAGACCGATGACGTGGCGCCTTGGACTGGGAAGACGACGACGACAAGCAGGCAACGTGGGGTTATATCGTTGAGGGGGGTTATGCTGGGGCCTTTTAGATGATGTTAGGAGACTTCGGCGGGCTTCACGGTGAGTTATGCACTGGCTAGTGTTGGTCTCGCCTTCATTGCCCTTTGCAGTCCAAGCCTCGCTTGAATTCCACCTCCCACACGCGGGTTCTCTTTCCGCATACGCCCTCAAGTACATCTTGGAGCATTTATTCGTACGGGCTGTGGCATCCTGCAAGACCGGGACTATCGTTGTCGCTTGGCCGCCCACGACTGCCTCAGACTGCGCAGCGCGTTTGGCTAAAGACGCATACTTATGCGCCCTCAACGTGGATGTCGACCTTGGGGCGACTCTATGCAACATTGTGTATGACCCCAGGCGCGTTCTTCGGCTAGATTTTTTTGAATCGTCAGGCTCATTTCCTGCAGAATTCGCGAAAGCCAGCACTATCGCTCTATTCCTCCATCCTCTTTCTTCCCCAAACCGTCCTCTCCCTTCTTGGACTCCGATACGCGTCGTATTCGATGGTTATATGCAAGCACGAGTATTCGATGGTTATATGCAAGCACGACACTGTCGTCGTTGCTTGCCGGCGAATATGGCGACCAAGCACCACACGTCGCAAAACTCCACGCCGCGTTTTACACCACAAAGAAAGGCTTACCGCGCATCCTCTCATATCCCCATATCGCCCTCCGCTGCTCTGAAGGGAATCCACCGCATCATTCTCGACTTCGCCAATGCTCCTCCTCCCGCATCTCATAACGTCATTCGTGGCTATTTTCTGGCCGCGAAAACATGCTCCTCGTGCATTAAAGGTCCTCGTCTCCTGCTAGAACAACATTTGGTCCCCGAAAAACCGCCTCCGCCACTTTGTTGTCCACGAGGCGCCGGGGCCCTGATACGCTTTCGTCGTCGCCCACAGCCTTTTCGCAAACCACAACTTTCCCAACCCTCCTTATCCCTCCAACACGACAATTTACTCTGGGCTCATTTCGCGGCTCCCTTCTCAAGCTCGTCTTCCCCTTCCTCAGCTCCTGCGTTCTGTCAAACCTTTTCACCATGTTTCTGCTCTTGCACGTTAAAGCGGGTTGGAGGAAGACATTAGCACTCTGCAGCGCTCATGTCAGATATTAACGCCGCCAATTTGGACTGCAGATGTCGCGGAAACGACCATATCATCCATATTGCCTCCTGTCCGGTCTCTACCTTTCGTGTCTCCACCAACGACTTTCCCGAAGAGCATTTGCATTAATTAACCAGGCGCTTCACTCTCGCCACCATTCTGCGACCTCGTTCCCGATATTGTCCCTCCCGTCCTCGACATAGTGGTCCTATTAACCTTTCACACCTCTGCGTTTGTGAGAGGACACCACCACACGATGCAGGATGCTCATATGCTCAAGATGGACACCCAACTGCGCACGGATTTGTTCCGTTCCGTCTTTCGACAGCCACACGTCGACCGAATACGAATTCGCCCAGGACGCCTTTCGAGCGCAAACAAACGACCTCCCCGACATCAAATGGTGCTCTTGCATCGCGCGCACTTGTCCTAGGACAATTGTGTCTGCCAAATTCGAGTCTCCAGATCCCCTTCCTCCTCTCCACCGCCATAGCACATTATTCTGCGCACTTTTTTGCCTCCAAACTCTGGGTCGCGCATGCTCCGTGGCACCAACACACGGAGTAATTATGTCTGGAGCAGCAATTAGTGCGCTTACCTCTCTTCGTCGATAACTCCGCCGGTAGAAGCATTTGGGCCTTCGCCTCGTTTCGGCTCTCCATCCATCGTTACCATCGACTTGCTTAGCAGCGAGACGTTGCTGCTGTACTCCCCGCCCGTCCCAGACCAGGCACTGTCTTGATTCGTTTTCGCGCACTTGTGCTCATGTGGGGAAAAAGCCAAAGATGTCGGATACGGTCTTGCTAGCGTTTTGCCAGCTTGAAGAAGCCGTGTTGCGACGCTTTCTAACGATATGGGGGCGCGATGCTATCTCAGATGACGAATGCCGGAGGTTGTCTGGATTGACAGGGGGAGAGTGGGTTTTGGATGTGGCTGGCTGTCTTGCTTGAAACGAATTGGCCTCTAGTGGAACATATAGGTACCGAGTCTTGTTTATACCCATATCTACCCCATACATATCTCTAACGATACTATATGGCGACGATCTTCTACATATTCATCCTGGTCTTAGGCTTATTTCGGCTTGTTTTGCCACACATATCATTCCCTTGTCCTGGACACGTACAGAGTCGGCCCTCCTCTTTATAGTTTAGATGCGGACCGTGTCCATCAAGACAGTGTTGACGTCGCCGACAACCTCCGCGAGCGCTCTTCATGATAAGATGAATAGATTACCGCAATCGATATCCCTTCGATGGGTCCGAGTCGAATGTGTTTTCTGCGAAGCGGCGCATAACTGCAGCCCGAATGGTTGACGTTGATGAACCGCGCGGAGACTATAGTATGCGACGTACGGGACCTGTATATTGAGAGCTGTCGTTAATCCCGGTTGTCGGGGCTGCAGCAGGAGGACCTACACTTTTCCGGTACCATCGTCGCCCACGAGGATGATCTTCAGATGATTAGGCACAATAGGCAATACCATGCACGAGACCGATACCCTGATATTCCATGTTTCTTGCTCTTGAGACATGACGCAGAGTGAGATGAGGGGAAGCAGAAAGGGATGCGACTGACGAGTGATGCCGATATCGATTTGTCAGAGAGTAGCATGGCGAAGGGACTCGGGAGGGCATTGGAAAGCCAGCGTATGTGAGTGCATTGATGAGCCCCCAGCGAGTACGTCTAGCAAGTATAGTCGAGCAAGATGGGCTACTTCTGGCTACCTGGAGCAATAGCTTGAGCGGGTCGTCGCCACAGAAGGCGCGCAGTCGTCTAGTGAAAATGAAGTACGCTATGCCGGGAGTCAGTTCAGATTTATGAATGCGCCGGCGCTGGTGCACGCGCGCGAGGAATGGTGGCAATCGGGAACAACCGTCGCTCGCCTGCCGAAAAAGGAAATCGCCTTCCTGTCATTTTCCTTCATGTCGTCCGTCCGGTGTACCAGCATGCGGCGGCGCGGGCAGCCATTCTCCGTTGAATCGTTTGCAAACAACCGCCATGAACGGGCATGTACAGGGCCTCAAGCTCAATGACGTGGCACCTCTGCCAAGGACGACGACGAAAAGCGGGTCGATTGGGCTGGGCGGGATAGGGAGATGTCGCTGAGGGCCTTGTAGTGGGCATTCTGGATACCATTGAATGGTTTCTGTGCGCTTCGCGGTGAGTTATGAGCTCGCTGGTCCTGGGTCATGCTCACCCCCAATATTTTCGCAGGCAAAGCTTTTTTCTTGGACTTCCATCTCCACCCACGGGTTCTCCTGGTGTATACGCCTTCAATCGCGTCTTCAAGCATGCCCCTATATCGACGGTGCCCCCCTGCAAGATCTGGACTTGATCATTTGTGCTAGGACCACAACCGATTGAGAAAGTCGAACCACACGCTCGCCTTCCCCGCTCGCCCCGCTCCAAGCAGTGGCGCATGTGTCTCGCGGCCTTGGCGCGGCCAGTGCGCGGTCTCTGACGGCACGCTTACCAACAACGTCTGTCTCACTCAGAACTCTTCCCCCGTAGCTCTTAGATGTGCTCAGCACACCCGCGGGCCCGCCCTTCTCCGTGGAAATCTCAAGGCATACATCGTTCGGCGGGGTATGTCTTCTCTTCCCCGACCGTCATGCGGCCCACAACCCCGATTGCAGTAGAAACCCTAATTGCTTCGACACTGTCTCGTCGTTTGAAGAAAGAAAAGCACACAACTGCCTCGTACGCTCCTCCGCAGGATCCTCAAGATTCGAGCTCTTGTGACTGGGTCCCATCGAGCGAGCATGGGTACCATCCGCGTGTTTTCCCCCGTTTTTTCTGCGACTCCATCTCGAGCCAACGCGACGGTCTTAGCGGGTCAAGCTCGTTACTCGACATCTTCACATTTCAGTCGAGCATGCCCAAACCCATCCGTCCCCCATTCCTTCGAAGAAAACGAGGGACATAATCCT